ATTTTATATCCCTCCTGGCTCGACTTCCTATGAGCCTACTTCCTTCTCATCTTCTTCCACCCTCTCTTCTTCCACCCTCTCTCTCGGCCATCAAACCCTCCTCTGTCATCAACCTCTCCATATGTCAAGTCCATCCTTGGGAATCATCATCGTTCATCTACATCACTTGATGAATCCATCCCACCCTACCTGTCCGTTCTGCTTCTCTGTTCTCTTGAACCAAACCCTCCATCCTTCATCTACCGGCATCGTGGATTGATCATGGCTGGGTCCAGGGTCTCAGAGCGACGTAGAGGCATCTACGGGTTTGCAGTCATCGTTCGTCATTTCGTTGAAGGCGTGCTAACACTCTCTGCCTATCTATAGAGCGTCGCCCGATCTCGCGCTAGAACTTCCAATAGAGGTTCAGCAGCCTCCTGTTGGACGATATCAGGGAAGGCACGAAAGCCAGGAAAAGAACGCAGGGGAGAACTCAGAGTCTGAGACTAGCTGTCAGTCTTCCATCGCAAACTAGCCTGTGGTGGTCAACTAACGAAATTGCAGTTCTACTAAGCGAGTCCAGTTCAGACTCAGAGGGTGAAAAGTACGTTCAGTCGCTATCGACTATTTGATCATAGCTAGACTTCAATACTAACCTGACGGGACCAGGGACCCAAAACCTTACGCGGTCAACCAGACTCCGCCACTAGATCCGCCCACCGAAGACGAGGAACAGAAAGCCTCGAGGCCTTTCAAGTGGTTCCACAAAAAGCAAAAAGGTTCGAAGGACTCAAAGGCCTCGAAGAGTTCGACGGGGTCTGTAAGTACAGGGACTCGCAGCCATCGGAAGTCCAGCTCTGGAGAGCAGACTGGCGTCTCACGGAAGGATAAGCCATCAAAAAACTCCAAGAAACTTCCACTCATTGAGCGCCTTGCACTTGGAGACGCCAAATTACGAATTCAAGAAGCGCAGGCGATCTCGACCCAGGACTTCCAGCCCGCAGACGATTATCCTCCCGAAAACAGTGCCCCGAAGCGACCATCTCTTAGGAAGTTTCTCCACATCCATTCGAGGAAAAGCCAAGGTGACGGCGTCACTATCGAAGAAGAGCATTTGACGTCGGCAGAAGAGTACTTGTTGTCGAATGATCCACTGTTCTCCGGGCAAAGCACATCCGGAAGCACAAGTCAGACACCAAGTAAATCGCATTCCCGTGACTCTAGCGGTGGGCCTGCGATTCGGTGCTTGCTCTGTCCTGAGATCGTTCGGCCAGCAGGAGACCCACACTGCCCGAAACCTCAGGCACCCATCGAACGTGCTCCAACACCACCAAGGAGTCCGTCGTCTGATCACATTATCTCGCTCACCTCCATCTTGTCAAGTTCAGTCTCTCAATCTACTTCCACACCGCCGAAAACCCCTCATTCTACTTCTACTCCGCACCCTATCTCAGAGAGCAGACTTGACACATCTGGTGACGCATCTTCATTTGACGAGTCTCTTGCCCCAGCACCGCTCCGAATCACCCCAAAGAATAGAAACGACACTCCCGCGCCCCAGTCCCCCCTCGACAAAATGGATCCACCGCGTGTCTCTCGTCTTCTCGACCCCGCCATGGCGGCTATCACCAAGCACAAAGCTGAAGCTATAAAGCTCGCTCGCGAGCAGAGCTCTGCAGTCCAAGAGATGTGCCGCAGAGCAAAATCTGATGTTCCTGCTTACGAGTTCGAAGAGTTGATCGGCAAAGGTTCATATGGTCGAGTTTACAAAGGTCACCAGCTTCCCTCCCGCAAGCTCGTCGCGATCAAGGTCTTGGACATCGACTCCATCGACTACAAATCTCTGCGGGACTTTCGAGACGAGTCAATCAACGATTTCATCCGTGAGGCGAAAGTGATGAAGCAGGTCAAAGACTCTGGCGCGAAGAACATTAACGAACTCATCGAGGCGATCTCCATTCACTCGCAGCTGTGGCTGGTTTGCGAATATTGCCCTGGTGGCAGTGTTAGGACCCTGGTAAGTTTCTGTCAGTTCTTACTCGGTCTGATGCTCTGCCATCATCACTTCGTCTCGTCTCTCTTCCATATATCCTATTATTGGTTGCAAACTAATCAGTGACAATTTTTCTCTTAGATGCGAGCCACCAACGATCGCTTGGAAGAAAAATTCATTATCCCTATTGCACGTGAACTGGCTGCTGGTCTCCGTGCCATCCACAATGCGGGCATCATTCATCGAGACATCAAAGGTATGAGATCACTAGGATCAAACCTCCTTCCGAGACACTACTAACACTCCTCCTCTAGCCGCAAACGTCCTGATCCACGAAGAAGGGAAACTCCAGATCTGCGACTTTGGTGTTGCCGGCGTCCTTCAGTCTCAGTTGGACAAACGCTCGACCTGGATCGGAACCCCTCATTGGATGCCACCCGAGATGTTCTCGACCCGCGGTGAAGCTCATCAGTACGGAAGTGAGGTAAGTGACACGTGTTCCGCATAGACAGTATCGTTGTTGACCGATCTAGATCGATGTCTGGGCGTACGGATGCACGATTTTCGAAATCGCTACGGGCAATCCTCCCAATTCGAACCTCCGAGAACGCATGCAGATCGGGAGGCAACTGAACCGTAGCACCCCCAAACTAGACAATTCGAAATACAGCGACGGCCTGAAGAGTCTCGTGTCCTTTGCGCTGGAATCGAACCCCGTCTCTCGACCTGCGATGGCAGACATTCTGAACCACTCCTACATTACTGATACCGAGGAAAGCCACCCTACTTCGTCCCTAAGTGAGCTTGTCCGCATGTACTATCAGTGGTCTCAGCGGGGTGGACAACGCATCTCCCTGTTCCATCCTGGCGGTGCCGCGGCTGCAGAGATGCCGGATACCGAGCCTAGTGAGGAGGACTGGAATTTCAGTACCACTGATGGCTTTGAGCGTCGCTTCTCTGTCATCGACCTCGATCAGCTGGCGGCCTCTATCGCTGAATTAGAGGCAGAAATAAGCCCGACCACGAAACCTCAATCCATGCCAGACATCCCTGATGAAACAACCGATCAGGAAATGACAGTTGAAGATAAGGCGAACTTCGATGAGCGGGTTCGTCGAGGTGCTGAAGCGATGGAAGGCCTTTTCAATGAAGAAAAGCCAAGCTACACTTACGAAACAAAGAACGACTTCGTCCCTATTGAACCTAAAGCCCCCGCATCCGACCTCCCCTTGCGCACAGACACCGATCGCTCTTCCGTCACCTCTACATTCATCGACATCGACATCGGATCCTTTGACTCGTCGCATTATGCGGCTGGAGCTTCATCTGCACAGCCCTTCCAGCTCGCAGACGCCGATACTATTCGCGCCAATAGATCCAGCGGTCGTCAACAGCGCAACTCCACCGATGGTCGCTCTCGATCTTCGAGTAGCGGCGTAAGCAGCACCCGTGACGCGGATGATGTGCCATTCCAGCCATCAACCGGCCCACGACCTCCTACCATGGATTGGAAGTTCCCTGTCTTCATGCAGCCTGCGACTGAGGAGGAGCCCGAGCCCGAGCCCGAGCCCGAGCCCGCGCAGGCGCCGAAGCCAGCTGAGCTAGACACCTCAGAGAAGCGCGCTACAATGGAGTGGACATTCCCAGTGATGACTGCTCCCGCCGACAATGAATCCATGAGCCACGAAAGCGATGCCGACGTGAGTCGCAACAACACTCTGAAAGCGCCGATCATGAGTCTGCAGACCTCGGACACCATTCGACGCTCGAGCATCGGCGAGCCTGGTGACTCACGGCCTTCCACCTCGCGATCCATCGATTCCAACGTGTCTGCGAGCTCCGAAACCGATTACGATCCATTCCGCTTCGACCGTCCCTCCACCCCGCCTAGCGTGCCAGCGGCTGCTGCGCCAAAGACTTTTGACGAGTCGGACTTCCCTACAATGTCATTCGACGAAGACGAAGAAACGAATGTCCTTGATGGACCTGGGCCTGATGAAGAAGAATCGGCTTCTGCCTGGCACAACAGTTCCGAGCAGCAGCACTCGCACTCCGAGCCATTCCCCACCGCCATCCCCGTCAAAGACCTCGAGCTGGCCCCCTTCCCCTCTGCCACCGACTCCCCCACCTCCGAGCCTCTCCCCACCGCCAGACGCAACCTTCCCATCGTGTCCACCGAAGACACCGATCCCGTTCGTTTCCCGGACGTTCCGCTCCCCCGCCTTGATGCCCTGACGGAGGGTGTCGGTGAGCACGCCATCAAAGAGGAGTTGGACCGGATGCTCGACGGCTTCCTGCTTGCTCTCAACGCCACCGGACGCGCAATCTCCCAGACCACGGTGGGGCCTGAGGCGGATGTCAATTCTGACAAGGGCTCTACCCCAGAGCATTCCGAGTGAGGGACATCATGCAGAAGGGGACCTCGAAACACAACGAGACACAACCCCGCAAAACCAATATCGAATCTTTTTTCCATTTATTTCCGTATTTGAAGTTACAAAAATAAAATCAACAGGTGGTGCATTGGAGAAAACCCGTTCTTTTTGGAACCGTATGCCAAAAGTCCAAGTATGCTGGCTCATGCATGGATTTGACGCGACGCGACGGACTGAGAATGATGGAAAACTCATGATTTTCACGAAAGAATGATCTTGCATTTTGCATTTGCGGTGCCTGTACCTGTACTTATAGAGAGAATGCAATTCACACGTGATATCCTATTCCTTGCTGGTATTGATAGTGTGAGTGTAGGATCCTGATCTCGGTAGAGAGGCTGCATAGCACTAAGATCATAGATAAGACCTTGTTGATCCGACTTGATGAGAGAGAGAGAGAGATATCTTGATTATTCTGGACTAGAGTATTTGCAGGAAATCGATGCAGTCAAACCCATTTGTATCAAAGATGTGGCTTTATTTCGAAACCATAGGGCCATCTTTCTGTGTCGGGTGTGTGGATGATGATGCCCCTGCGATAACGGGGACTCGAACTGGGTTTCCCGAGCCGAGCAAAAAAAAAAAAAGAGAAATCAGTAGTAGTAACCAGCAGTAACATTAGGCGCTTTTTCCCTTAGGGTTGCTGCAAGAGCCTCACTACAGGCATTAAAGATATTCTGCTGCTCGGCGATCCATCTCCCGGTCGTACGCTCCAACTCCTTGATCTTGGCCACAGCGTCCAAGTCGCCAAGATCTTTATAGTCCTTGATTTTCGAGCCCTCGATCTCGCTCTTCACATTCAATCGCCAATACTTCCTGTTCTGGACCTTTGGAGCAAAGGCGTCTACAAGTAAGCGGAAAAGCAGGTGGTTACATGAGGGTTACATTAGCGCAATGGGCTGGACGTTGGCCATCATGGTCGCCCCCCAACAACGATAACAGTGAATGCTACTGTCGCCTCTCCTTTCAGGCCCTCCCAGACAATCTTGCTCGGCCGGGTTGACCCCATCAGAAGGAGCGGGTTCAATCTTCTCCAGCTCACCCATGTTTGCCATACCGGCACACGGCGGAGCTGGCCTGGGATTTCCCACGGTTGCTGACAGGTGAAGGTTGTTCTGCCGCAACGATCCTGCGACGTCCATGTCCACCATAGTCACCTTCAAGGCTGCGGATAGATGGCGTGGCTGCATGCAGATAGCGACCCCATATCCAAAGGACATGGTCGAATAATTCTTCAGATCCTCATCCACCACTTCAGCTTCGAGGAAGTCGCGGTTGGGGGGTCTTTCGCTCCTTGATAATCATCGTTTCTTTTTTTTTTTTTTTTTGAGCCATCGCGAATTCCATTGCCAAACTTTGTTCTCGCTCTTTCCAAATGTGCTTTCTGGTTGTGACGCTCGAGACGCCGTGGGCCGACTCATCTCTCCCGGTGCCACCAGGTCAGGCTTGCTGGATTCGGTAACTCGAAGAATCATCTCTGGAGTTATAACGATGCACGATGCGAATATACGACGCCATCTGGCCGCTTCTTCATTGCTGTAAAAGGTAAAAGGCCCAGTCTCAGGTTCGCAGCTCACACGTAGCATGTCAATGATAAGGCTCCAAGAAGCTGTCTCAAGGAGGCTGTGATGGTTTCCTCCCATCAGATGCTTACGGGGATATCTTCATCTATTCCTATTTCTAGCATCCAGAAAGCCTTCGCAAGGGTTGATTGTATCTAGTAGCTTTCTGCTAAACACAAGTTTAAAGATCTACATCAGCAGAGGAGACAGGGCTGATACAGATATCGCCTTTACTGCTGCTACTTACTAAGCCAGACACTATAGACCCTGCCGCATCATCCTCAAGCACATACGACCACAGGGTGTGGAAGATAGGGTTTCCCCTCCGCTCAGCCGTCCTCAAGCCACACTGATAAACGTGGCCAGAAGATCAATGAGCCCCGAGCGTGTTGCTGTTTTATGGGTGACAGGCGCTAAATTATGGGTGAGCATAGGTGAGATGGGTGAGAATTCGGTGAGAATTTGGTGAGAATATCACCTTCCGGCGTGAGTGGGGGTGAGAAAGAGTGAGCTACAGAATGCTAAGTTTTCTTCATCCTTGATATAAAAAGAAGGGGCTTCTACAAATTCTTTTTGTTGTTCTTTAGTCCCCGACTTCACTTTTCTTCACGTGACCACGACTGTGTCTATGGAAACGTGGCCAAGCCAAGCAGGGTAGCCGGGTATGATCGTCTCAGGAAATCCGACAACAGCGGCTTCCTGTCTCCCTGCTTCGCGAATCCACTGACAGACAAGCTTTGTAGAGTCCGCCTTATGTAGGAAGCAGGGTGCGATTTGTGCGGCGGCGAGCCCATTCTTAAATCGTCGATTTGTCGCTGTGGTTGGCTCAACTGGTATTATGAATCATGGTGGCTTAATCGGCGCGAAATCCGACGAAAGGAATTGATGCAGAATCTTTGATAAGCAAGGCTGCAAAAGATCTAGATAATCCCTTTCCGTATGGGCAGGAAGCGCTGTCAAAGATCTAGGTGGTGGCTCTTGTTGCATCATTGATCAAGAAATACTAAGTTCCAGCCCTGTAGCCGCGCTTGTCCCAACCAGGGTTCACTTACCACCAAAGATACCTCGAATTAAGCTATCCTTCTGCCAGTAAGTGCAGAATTGTGGACGGGGTACGGCAGACGATTGCGGCCATCGGGCAAATGAGTTTTTACTTGGTGTTTTACCGGTAGAATTAATTTATCTCCTAGATAGGCTATTTAAGCAAGTATTTATATATATATAAAGCTTTTTAACTTACTTAGCTTTATCTTGCAGCTACTAGTTCTAAGTACTATAAAAAGGTGTAAGTCTTATCCAGGGTACTGTATACAGGTATTTTATACAGCTGAAATATATAAAAATAACTAAAAATTAAATATATTTTAATTAATTTTAATAATTTTATCCGGAATAGTAATTACAGGGATCTTTTTAATATCTTTTTTTTTATAGAAGAGGGCCGGCAGATAGGAATTAAAATAATTTTTTTTTTTTTCTTTTTCTTCTTCTTTTTTTTAAATCCTAGTAAAATTAGATTTATACAGGCTTTTAGAGCAGGTAATCCCCTTTTAATAATAGAAGTAGAGGAATTAGCTGGTTATATAGCCCCCTATACTAAATTTTAAATAAAGTAATAAAATTTTATATTCAGCTATTTATAATTAGTATATACTTTATTAAATATACTAGATAAGTAGTAGTATTCTAAAAAAATACTGGTATTACTAATACAGCAGCTAGTATAAGCCTTAAACAGATAATTTTCTAAAAACTAGATTAGCAGAGTATTAATATAAAACAGCTAATATAAAATAATCTAATAAGCTTAGATCTAGCTGTATTAAAACTTAATATTATATATTTTATATAAAATAAGTAAGGTCTTTTCTATACTAGTATAGATATATAAAATAAATATTTTTAAATTACTATAAAAAATTACTGGATTGTAGTCCTCTAGAAGTCTAGTATACAACTAGTCCTAGTATCTCTACAGATTTAGAGGTATATATATTCTAAAAAAAGTATAGTTGGGGGGGGGGGCGGGTAGTACAGTATAAAATAAAATAGAAAATATTATTATTATTATTATTATTATTTCTATTACTTATATAATATTAGTTAGCACTATTTTTATTAATTTTTATTATTTTTTTTTATCTAAAATAAAATAAAAATTAGAAAATTAAGCTTAGCTATTATTTTTTTACTTTTTAATATATATAAAGATATTTTGGAGGGGGGGGGGCGGTTAGTAATAGTAGTAGTAGTAATTATTATAAAAAAAAAAAAAAAAAAAAAAAAAAAAGAAAAGTCTAGAAAAAGCCTACTAAAAATTATAATATAAAAAAGATTTAAGTATATAAAAAACTATACTGTATAAAAAACTAAGTATTATTTTTTAAATATATATACTTATAAATTAAATAAAATTTTATATTCTGCTGCCCTATTCTTATCCTTTGCCTTTAATATATATTTCTACTTTATATAATAAGATGGTAAGGGTAAGGCAGAAAGTAAGTATTTTTATATATTACTTATCTAATAGTACTAAAATTTTTAAAATTCTATAGTCTTTAAATCTGTAGTTTCTGGTTGTATAAAGAATTTTTTAAACAATTTCTTCTTAATTTTTAAAGGTATAGATAGTTCTATTTTAATTTTAATCTTTTTTTTTAACAAAAGGTATATGCGTACAGCACTTAATAATAAAAAAAATCTAATAGACTTAACTTATTAATATATAAAACTAAGTTTTTAAAAAATTACCTGTTTTTTATATAGTATTAATCTTTAGACTTAAGAAAACAGGCTTTTTTCTAAGTAGACTTATTACTAGTTAAAACTTATTATCTTTTTATTATATATATTATTACCCCTAGTATAGGCAGGGAAAAAGATCTTTAAATATTAAGTCTATTATAAAAAGTATTATATAGTTGGAAATATAAATTTAGATTTGTTTTAAAAAATAAAATTATTAGTATTATATAAAGCTTTATTTAGATATAATAATAAATCTAGATATTATAGCTTAGTTAAAGATATATTACCAGTCTCTAGATCTTTATAAAATTAAAAATAAAAATTAATAATTGTTTAAAAAGATCTTTACTGGTTTTTATATTATATAAAAGCAGATTAATAAATACCCTTACCTTTTATATAAGTAAAGAACTGGAAGAAATTAAAAAAGCTTAAAATACTTATTAATAATATTTTTTTAAAAAAATCAGCTGTTAAATTAATTAAATTAATACTTTTTAAAAACAGATTTTAGGCCTGGTAAATAGAGTATTATATAAAAATATTTAAATAAGCTCTGCCGGTAGCTGAGCAGAATTTTATTTAAAAAAATTAAAAAAATATTTTAATTTTAATATTACTTTATTATATAAGTAGAATAAGTAGACTAATATTATAAACTTTAAAATTATAGTATAGTATAGTAAATAAATAATATTATACTAAACAGGGGCCCCTAGTTAATTATTTTTACTTTTATTTATTTTACTAATTAAAAGTACCAACAGGTTGTACAGACAGCTTTAAATTAAAAATAGTATATAATTAAGTATATACTAAGATCTGTTTATATAGCTAAAAATAGACTGTATAAAAAGGGGCTTTTTTTTTATAAAAAAAAACTAGTAGTAGCTTTTTAGAGTTAAATCTAATTCTTTAAAATTATATATAATACTATTATAAAGTTTTTGTAGATAAATATTTATTAATATTCCAGTTTTATATATACTATAATTTTTACTAGAGTATTTTTTTATATACAGTAAAGCTATACTTTATATTTTATAAATAATTATAGTTTATAAATAGTTTGCTATTAACTACCTAAGGTTACTTTAGCTGCTTCTGTATAAAATACTTATTCTAAATTTAAGTATAAAAAAAAATCTAACTTTAAAGGCAAAGTATATAAACAGTATATAAAGCTATCTAATCTGATTTAGAAAATATAGAAAAAAAACCAGTCTTTTAAAAAGTTATAAAGTAGTTCTAATACTAATTAGCTATAATATTTAAATATAAAACTAGTATATAAATTTTCTACTAAATAATAAGTACTTTACTTAACTATATTTACTAAAATTTAATTTTTTAATTTATAGTACTAGTTTTATAAATATAATACTCTTCTGGTATAATCTAAAACTTATATATTTAATAAAGTTTATAATAAGCTTTATTAAATATAATAGTTTCTATTCTATAGTCTAATTAAATTTTACTGTATATACTTTTATATAGTTATATAGTATTAAAATATTAGTAAAAAATATTAACTGCTGTATATACTGTAATACCAGTATATATTTAAATAATATAATAAAAGTAAATATTAATTATAGTATAGATTTTAATACTATACAGCTGCAGCTTTATATAACTATTAATTAACTATAGAAAATTAGGGCTAGAAATAATATATAAGTCTTATTATTACTAGAGATTATATTTTCTTTATTTTATAGCAGTAAAAATAATTATATAGTAGATATTAAATAACTAGTTACTAAACTCTAAATAATTAACTATAGCTCTTAAAAATATATATAAATATAAACTATAGTATAACTAGATTCTGGCTGTATATATAAAAATAAAAAAACTACCGGCTATATTTTTAAATAGTTTTTTTATTATATTTTTTAAAAAGTACTTTAGTAGCTTTATCTGTCTGGAGTTGCTGCTCTGATAAATTATCTATTTAGTATATAAATTCTAGTATTATATAAATATATTACAAAGTCTATTCTAAAATAGTATAACTGTTAGTTTAAAAAGTTTAAAGTAGCTTAGATTTAGAAAAAGCCTGTTAAAAAAACAGTTTTTAGATTTTTTTTATAGAGTTAAATTAGTTGTAGCTGTATAGTCTTGTTTTTAAATACTCTAAGAACTTAGTTAACTTTTAATTATATATTCTGCAATCTAAATGGAGTGTTTTTTTTAAAGAACAGAGGCAATAGCTGTAGTAGATTTACCCTATTAATAAAAAAAATAATCTCAGCCTTAAAAGACTTAAGATCAATATATAGAGGTATATTAATAGAATAAGAAAAAATATATATATATAAGAAGAATAAAGCTTTATATAGTTGTTATCTGGGAAGCGGTAAGGCCTGCGGTAAAGTGACTTAGCAGATGAAATCTATTTACCCGATGGCCGCAATAGTCCGCCGTAGACGGGGGGTTAAAGTTTTGTTGGCTTTGATAAGCTCGGCCAATACTCAACTGTAGCCTTGCTAAGTAAACACAACCAATGCAACACCACACAAGACTCGGCACGTATAATCTTCATTTTATTTAGCTGTGAGATTGACTTAGCTACTGCTTAGTATTGTTTCAGTAGCATAACATGCATTCTGGTTCTATGAGAAGAACACTTCTCGGGTGGGTATTCTGTCCGCATGACTATTAGTTAGTGTACCTTGCAAATATGAACGTGATAATATAATTTCGAATTAATCGCGGATTGATGTACTATAAGTTTCGATAACATCCAGTATTGTTCATTTTGATGTTTCGAATTTGTTGCTAGTTCAATCGAAATGCATTGCTCTCCAAGCATGAAGTCTGGTTTTTTAGCCACCTTATTGTGGGCTGCAAGGGCTACCAGACGGCAAGCTCGTCTCTCTTACTTCTTACCCTTTACACACGAATTGGATCTATCCTACTTTATAAAGTGCCACATAGATCAGTAATAACGCTTCAAGGGCGCCATAGATGTGTGTAGGTACTAGGAATAGCCTCGAAAGTTCCCACATACGTTCAACGTGCCGCTGGTAAGCAGAAAGACAACCTTAAGTCTCCGCAAACTTTGACCTCGATCTCAATCTGGCCCCATACACATAAAGTGCGGACACCCCTAGCACCCCTCCACAAGAAAGACCACCCAAGAGTGAAACACCTCCAGCAATCCCAAGCCGGTCGAAGAGCGGCCGAGCATAGATTACCGCGCCAGCAGCCCAAGCCGATCGGAAGAAGTCATTGGCCGCGAAAAGGCTTGCCGCATACCGGGGATAAGACAGCGGAAGATACGTGAAAATCCCTGTTCGGTCTTAGTAGGACGCGCCGAATGACGGGCATATTGCGATAGTGTACCTACCTTGGAAGAGGATAAAGCCACCTGTGCTGAACAGTGCGACGCCAGCCATGGAAACAACCCAGTGGATACTTTGTCGGCTTGACCAGGCAAATAGGAATAGCCCTATTGGTTGTAGAAACGAGGCGAATATTGCCGGGATGAGACACTGCTCTGGGGGACTAAGTCCGTTCTTCTTGACTCGAGGTTCCTTCGTCCGGCGTTAGTCCTTGTCGCTTGGGATCGATGTACCTTCAGCTGAGATCAGAAAATGAGAATGGGGAGTTACCCAATGCCAGTAGACGTAAATCAAATAAATTAAAGTCCCGGCTAAACACGCAACAACGATCGATAAAAAGGCGGTACCCGTCAGGCCGAGATCGAATCCATACATATCTGTATAGACAAGCGGAAAAGCCTCGAAGAAGCTGTAGTAGACACCGTAGCTATAGGAGCTATAGAGATTGGTGAAAAACACGGCGGGATCCAATATCGTGATTTGTAGGGGCCGGATCAAAGCGTGCGCGACAATATGGCGTGGGGATAGACTAGCTTCATCGATTTCGGACTGAGAGACATATCGCTGGTCTTTAAACACCTTGCGGACTCGTTGGGCCCGACGTAACAGAATTGTGGAGGCAGATGTCTCTGGGAAGGCGACAAACATAACCACAAATGTAAGGAGAGCCATCCATAAGATCTCCCATAAGGGCAAGCGCCAATCGCCGCGGGCATCAACTGCAAAGCCAGAGATGATAGGACCTAATGCAGGCGCGCAGAATGTAGCGCCTACCCACGCCGTGTAACCATAAGGCATTTTCGACCACGAGTACATATCCTGGAGTGTCGCGCCCCCCGTGGCGAGACATGGGGAACCCAAAAAGCCTGTTAGAAATCGCAAGACAAGGAAAGCAGGAAAGCTCCGGGTGAGAGCAGTCGGCACAGCCATCAGGACATAGAGAAATAAAGTAATCATGTAGGGCGCGTTCCTTCCAATTCGGGGGATTTCAGATATTGGCGAAAAGATGAGAGGACCAATGCCGTACCCAAGTATATAGAGCGAGAGGCCCAGGGTGGAGAGTGTATGGTCAAGATTGTACTCCTCCATCACGCCGTCCACGCTTGGTGTGTAAATGGCAGAGGCGCAATACACCGTAAACGTATACAGCCATAGCACGGCTGTCACGATGGACTTTTTGAAGGAACTCCAGTTCTGAGGATTGTCGACATCCTTCTCATCGTACCAATCCACAAGAAATATGTCCTTTCCATCCGACCGCCGCCCTTCATTGACAGGGCCACCTTGAGGTGTAAGCGCTTGCGAGTGTGGCCGTTCGTACTTGCTTCCAGGACCTGGCACCAGCCTTTGATGCTCACTTTGGGATCTAGGTACATGTACCAGACCACTGGATACGGAGACTTTCTCCTCGGTACACGGATGCGCGAAGCCCGCTCGCTCTTCGGGATACAAGAAGCACCGCTTGCCAGTAGCAAAACGGACAAGCTGTCCCAGCGAGCTATCGCGAAGCAGATCCATCCCACACCTAAGCCAAGGGAATCGCGCGCGGAAGAATAATCACCGAAAGGCTTGCGGAATGAATGCACTTTAAGTAGATTTGAGACCTCCAGAATTCTTCCATGGACGCCACTGGACTTCGTTGTAGATGCGGGTGAGATTCGGACAAGCCGCCCAAGCCCTAACATGGGCCACTTGAAGTCTTCTTCAAGATACTACTATGTACCATGTAGTTGTCCCACTTCCTGGAAGGCAATGGTTCCGTCGGGCGAGACTCGGGCGAGTTCCAACCCGGTTACGTAATCAAAAATGCCACCTCGTTGGTACATAAGGTAGTTAACTACCTAGTAGTTATCGTGCATGACCATCTTCAAACCGTCCAACGGGTCAGTCTCGGGTGAGCCATGAATTACCTATTAACTACGGAGTAGTAACAAACTTAGTTTATACCTAAATATCTGCGGCCATGGCGACACGTCCCGAGAGGGTCCGCAGGACACAAAGAGCTCCGAAAAGCTGTTTTTTCTGCTCCCGACGCAAGACCAAATGCGACAAATCGATTCCTTGCCGGCCCTGCCGATCGCGAGGACAGGCTAATGAATGCTTTGTTGAAACAGTAGAGGTGAAAGGGCAGGTAGTGACGTAAGTTTCCTTCCGACGTAGACTTGGAAGTTAAGTTAGTTGCACGCTGACGACTCAATTAAGATCTGATCAAACGCCAACTACTCAGCCCAGCTACTCAGAATTATTAGACGAAAATGCCCGTCTCCGATCGCTTGCACTGCAGGGGTCATCTAAGATCGCTCGTCCCATTTCATCATTGGCTTTGATAGACCAGGAAGAGCAGGAGCTCTATCTTTGCCTCCGAACCCATTATCGGCCTGCGGGTATTGCAAGTGCGTCGGAGGTCATCTACCCATCCGATGAATCTTGTCGTATTCTCTTCTCCCAGGCTGCAAAGTGGGCCTGGCTTCACTCGGCCGTCTCTCCCGCCACTCTCGAGCAACAAGGGCTTCGAGATAAACCAAACCAATTATGCAGAGAATCGCCAACTACCTCGGACGCGTCGTGGTTAGCTCTGTATTTCAGCCATCTTACTGTTCGCAATCCTGACCTGGTTCTGCATGGAGTTTTGTGCTAATGATTCCCTGACAGATAGGGATCGCATATGCAGATGAGATATCTCTTGGGGAATGTGGTATCTCTAAAGGTTTGTAGATCTTCTCTGCTCTGGATGAACCCGCCTTACCTTTTTTTCCATGACAGAGAGGGTTGCTTTCTTACGAGAAAATTGGTACGACGCTGCTTTGTATTTCCTCCACCAAGCGGACTTTCTCCGTCTATTGGATGTCCGAAACATCCAGACAATCTCAATTCTCGGAACCGTGTTCTCAAACTTTGGTGACCTGAATCTATACTACAATCTGCTGGGATGTGCAGTCCGGATTGGCGAAAGCCTCGGGATCAATAATGACTACACCCATCATACAGGGATTCTCCCGGATCTTGAATCTCAGCGGTCTCTATGGTGGTCTCTGGTCATTCTGGACTGGCTAAACATTCCATTAGGCCAACCTTGCATTCGTGAAAACGATTTCCTGGTCGAGATGCCTTTCATCTCTGAAACACAGTCCGATTGGGACTCCACCAACTACCAAGCCAACATGTGCAAAGTGGCTCTGGTGCTGTATAGGTTCCAAACAGCCATCTGCGCCTCAATGGACTGGGAAACTGTCGAAAATGCGGTCATCGTGGCTGATGAGAAGCTCGTTAATCTGAAGGCAGAACTGAGCTCGTGTACTGAGTCAGGGGGCCTCGAGAACACATACGTGGGTACAGATACGTCAGACGCCTCCGATTGTATTGGCTCTATCCAGCGACGAAGTCTGCTGCTGATACTGTTCTACTACCGCATCCTGATCAACCGCACACTTATCCACCAGACACCATCGACGAGAGCGAAGAAAGTTTCGTTTTCAAGATGCTCCGAGTCCGCTCATAATATACTCAAATTATGCACAGATTTGGGTACCAAGGGCCATTTGGTGGCTTCGTGGTACGGGCGTCTGGATTCCATTCCTCTTAGTCCATTTCATCTGACTGTATGTAGGTCAATGTTGTTACCTCTATACTCGGCAGCGAATGTTTTGGTCGTATACGGGTCTCGGTGTCGTTGTGAACCAGGCCATGATCACATGGCGGATGTTGCCGCTGCCGTTCAGATATTTGACTCTTTGTCGCACAAAAGTGCTTTTGGTGAGTATGCTGCTAGAAGGTTGAAGGAGATCATCAACAATGCAGCTCCAGTGTAGTTAAGGTCAATTTATGCCTTTTCAACACTATGATATCAGATATTGAAGTTTTGCATAAGTCTCGTGACTAGCACATACGACCACAGGGTGTGGAAAACAGGGCTTCCCGTCCGCTCAGCCGTACTTAAGCCACACGCCGGGAGGTTAGTAGTTGGGTGGGTGACCACCAGCGAATCCCTTCTGTTGTATGTTTTTGCTCTCCCTCCTTTTTTTTTCTTGTTAGGTTTAGTGCCCCCAAAACCCCATATGAAGAGCTAATAGAATGGTGTACGCCTAGTCACAAAACAACACTACACCGGGAGGAACTCGAGTATTGCCCCCCAAGGATTCATCATGTACTTAGTCTTCCTCTCTTTCCCTTATGGAGCCTATTAGTTCACGTGAATAGTGTTCTAAGATGTCTTTGCCATCTCTATAAAGTAGATGATCTAACAAGTTTGGGATTAGTCCTCCGTATTATATGTATAATGTACTGGAAAATGTGCATGTCGACGGCTCGCGAATTCAGCCCATCTAGACAATGCTAACCAATACTGGAAACCCGGAACAGTCAGTATGAGTATACTCTGAATTCTCCAGTTTTCCACAGCGTATGAAGCTTGATTTGCGTGTGTCTGATAGATCACCTCCGATTGGTATCTAAAGACCGAGTTAACCCTTAGATGGAGTGAGGGGGAAAGGATAAAGTTAGATGTAAGAGTTACACTAAAGGAATGCACAAGCAGTGGATAAGCCAGTGTAAACCGAGCATTCTCCAAGCGGATATTCCCCCACCAGGATCGACGGCATTCCCCAGTCCCTACGGCCCATCGTGCACAACGGACGCCCAGACGCTGGGCCTTTCCGTCTTGCGCACCTCCAATACAGCAGGATGCAGGGCTTCAGCGATTGATTAATTCGAGAACGGCTGGGGCGGGCTCCTGGGTTAGCCAATCCATAGGATAACATGCTGGCCAAGTGATTCGTCAGCCAACCGAGGGACCGTGATTCGGGCCGTGAGCAGGCAAGAAGGCAATCCGCGCCCGACGGAGGACCAAGTCAGACATTTGTCTGACGTGGAGCCGATCAGCCGCTGGTCGAGACGAGCGGTTGTTCTGCAGAAGCAGATCGCTCTCGGAAGAATCGACGGGGTCGTGATCTCTTTGCGCTAAGTGACGATGTCCCAGTTACTGCTACCAGCAGTTACCTGACATACTTATCGCTGGTGTGGATGGTGTGTGGCACACTCCAGGTCATGAGGATTCCTCTTCTGTATAATTAGATGGAGTACTTGCCATACACGGCATAAGACAATCCACAGGAGGCTAAATGTAAGGTAAAGTATAGACATATTATTCCAGCTTTGGAATGGGTGTATCCAGCACCTAGCACTGGCGTATTGGCTTTTTTTGCTGTGAAGGAAGAGCTCCTAGATCTACATTCCTCGATGACGGTTTACATAGAATACTCAACGGAAGTCCCTCGAGTTGCATTTTTGGATTAGGAACGTGTACAGTAACATGTTTGTCCATGGCTTGCGTACCCAGCCTATGTTCCCCTATCTCTGAGATTCACTACCGAGGTAGTATTGCCCTCTTCGTCAAGGCCAATGAGATGTCTTTCCTGTTTCATGTTGAGTATATCCCAGGCTCCTTCTGCCACTCACGATCTAATGGCATCCGAATTAAGTTGGAGAGATACTCGATCCTCTTCCGGGCGAGATACGAGAAGGGGAGATTTAGGCATTCCTCGAGAGCTAGCCAAGAGAATGACTGTTCTTTTGCTGATAGAATAGGCCATAACGTAGGTGGTAAGAAGCACCGTATCGAGTAATGGCTTCGATCACATCGGAAGGTAGGTTCAATTGTTGATGTCTACAATCTTCTGGTTGAGCCGTAGACGGAGGGATCGGCCGACTTGTGGGTTCCGGTTTTGTTGTTTGGCGCCAGATTGTCACAATCTTCTTTCCTAAGCATAGATCTGTACGTTCCCAGTGCCCTTCTATGTTCCTAGTGGAAGGCTCGTCCCAGATTGAAATATGCTTCCTTGATAGAGCTTAGCTTTGTGGCGTTTTCATAGAGTGCCATCAGAGTGCGGTACAGTACGCTTTCCCACTGGCGGCCATATCTGACCGAGCGTCGAAGATGTGACATGGCATGCATTCAGAAGGCAGTGTCAGGATTGCTTCACCATGGACAAAGTTCACCCCTAATCCGGGCTTTTGGGATAGTCTGTTCCACGTGGAACAACTCTGCTCATTTCATCCTAGTACTTGTCAGGGGTCATAGACAGAGTTTAACCAACCCATTATCGCAATGCAGCGTGACTGAGTGACGCACGTGATCAGGGGGACAGCTTGGCTTTGGGATCTTGCTAAACCATCTGTGCCCTTGCAAAGGCTGAGTCGGACGATTCCTCATGGCAGCACACTACAATACAAACCAGGCAAACCCCCAGACAGGCGTCCGGACAGTGACCCGTCACGACCACGTACCCGGCTTCGTGGGCCGCATTCTGTGCTTCGAAACCCTGCACCCCCGCCCCAATGCGCTTGGCGGGACCGGTGTAGCTGCGGGAGGTGTAGTTTAAGACTGTCTCAATGGATTTAAGGTGGTGCGTGCACAGGGCCAGCGCGCCGGCGCCCGTGGATTTCCCCATGTAGTCGTGGCCCGTGTTGCGGATCACCAGGCGGATGTTCTTCGCTTGCACAAACCGCAGGACATGTTGGACGTCGGCAATCGAAGTGACGTTGGCGGCGTAGCGGGCAAGAGGTCCGATGGTGCAGGGGCTGTCTGGTCCGGAGAAGGGGGAGCAGGATGAGTTGGTCCACCAGGCGGCCATTGGAGATGAGGGAGTATCATAGTGAGTCGACGGCTTGGACCATTGTTTCTGGAGGGTCGCGCACTTCTCGTTGTCGTAGGAGGCGGTGTTGGTGTGGCACACGCTGCCGATCGGGTCGATGGTAAGGAGGTTGCCAGAGATGGAGTCGTTCAAAGCGGACCACTCTTCAGGCGAAGGCCAGCAGGCGTCTCCCGGGAAGCAGCGGCATGACGAGGATGATGAAGGGGAAGGGGAAGGGGAAAAAGTGAAGGGAGATTGTAGGCGGCCGGTGCGGAGCCAGACTGCCAGTGGAATTATCCCAAGGGTGATCAGCAGCCCGGTGTAAGATCGGCGTGCCATGGTGCAAGCGCAGACACTCAATGGAGATGAGATGCAGCAGTAAAGTGTTGAGCAATAGATGGATTTATGTAATGATAGAAATGTGCGCGCGAAGAGCTTCGCTCGAAATAGTGACGGAGAGAAAACAGTGTGGGACAGGAGCGGTGGTGTGGCCTATACATACTGTACATACAGACAGGCAGCACTAGTCTGTAGAATCAATTTAGTTACTGTGATATTGGAAGCTTTCCACATCACTAAGTCCATAGACTTCCAGTCACTTTACCTAAAGTGAGCCCCACTTAGAAGCTGATACCAGCCTGGTACATAGCACTGTATAAGCTACCTAGGAGACTGTGGAAGTGCCTGAATCAATTTTAATGCTAGTGCAATGGATCCTGGTCCATAATCCTGCCAGGTGGTGGTTTTAGGGTCCTTTTCCTTGATCCAGTATAAACGTCAATATCTGGCAAAGTCTCCTCCAAGGGCTGAGTGCAAGTATTTACTTGTGAGACTACTACATACTGTACATCAATTCCTGCGACTATTGCAAGCACTACTGTAAGCACTACCAGATAATTAATATGTACAGTACACAAGTGTATGTCGACCACAGTATAGTAAGCACTAACCAACACTAGGCATGGATACACTCGCCAAATCACAGCAATCTATGTTATGGTTATTTATCCTTTTGTGGTTTGACGTGAGCCTTCGACGTACAGTACAACCAATCATAATCAGAAGTCCATTGCACAGTAACTCGACTTGGTACCGCGCAACTCTCTCCAGCTAGGCTCGAGGTGAATTGATCTTTCCAGTCCTTGAACACAAGGCTGTCCATCTTCCGGCAAGACAACCTGCCGGGGGATGCTGGCGCAGCGCCTGACAGCGTAGGGCTGTCAGCCAAACAGTAGGCGGCAGCTTGATTACTACTATCCCAATTAGCAGCATCTATCATAACTTTGGGCCTCTGGCGGTTGAGATTGTTTATTGACCTGCGCAGAAAGAGGCCTATGGTCTGTTTCACAGATTTGGCTTAGTCCTTTTGGTGATCTGTCTCCTTCCCCAGCGTGGCGGCCTAAGCCTAACCCTGACTTTGAATAGGCCTAGGTTAGGCTGCTACGCCACCAACAAGTCCCACTAGGCCAGTAGGTACGCAAGAATATCTCCTTCCCTAATCATAATTACAATAGGAAATACCAACTAGCTCAGTGGATGGACGATATCGAACTTCCCAAGTCGAGCGATTTATCAAGGGGCGAGAGGAGAACGAAAAGAATGCCTGATATCACGTGGCTCGTCTGTGAAACTCACCGATGTACCAAGGCCAAGTCGTCGATCCGAGTCAAATCCCGAATCCGTCTTCAAGGTTCCGCATCTACCCTTCCAACTTGATCAGACTGTCAATCCATGATGAACCAAGAAGAAACCCGCAGCTTAATTGCAAGCCAAATTCAGCATACCATGGACCAGTTCTTCCAAACCACGACCCCGACACGATTTCGACTAGTTGGTGATACACCTACGGCGATCCTCGATTCCGAGGACTATCTAACGTCAATAAAGCCCTTCGTCACAAAGGTCCAACAGTCTGTGAAATTTTGTCGTCCGAATGCAAGGACTCGCTTCTTAGCATTGAGAATAGTCAGCCGTCATTCTTACTTCGTTGTAGACGTCAACAATGTCGATTATGATTATGAGACTGCTCATGAAGTAACCACTTCAATCCCTGTCTACGTCATTCGGCTGTCTAGACGTGTCAAGATTACTAGAAACCCTACGGAAGACAAGAACCTGGCTTGGATTCTGGCTACAATGCATCGGGGGCACGGCAATGATCCGCTACCTCTAGTCGATGATTACACTAGGCCTGTCGTGTACGACAAGCCCCGCGGCCTTCGCCCTTGATATGGCATTATCTCCTTCCTTTGCCAGTCCACAGCTATTATCCTCGGTGAACCGGGATGTCTTGAAGTACTCATTCTGGCAGCTTTGTCCCAAAATCCAACAGGTAGTCCCGTCTATTCCCCAGGGAGCCATGCTCACTATGGCCGAGCAACGAGCGCTACTTGTGGTTGTAACCTTATCTTTTAGCATCTTGTTATCCACTTTTGGGTGCATCATCTGCGGCCAACCGGCACGGTATTCTCGGCATGGCAGGAGGGTATATGCTCGCTGTATACAGATCTCGTTGAGACAATTTGGATGATAGAATTACGGTGTGGAGTCAGCAGCGCCGCGGGCTGGATTCTGTTGGAACTGCGTACGTGCCTGTCCAGCTCTAAGCGAAATGAGCATCATGTAGATTATATAAGATTGAAGTACTATCAATCTTTCAGTTGGACTAATTCCTACATAGAGCTTCAGAAAAATGGAGACTGATAAAATGATAATATAGATATATAGATCACAACCCCAACAAATCGGTGTTGAACTAGGAGCGGAAGGTGGTCGCCGGCAGGTATAGTACAGTACAATAATAGAATAGGTATAATACATAGAAGAGGTCTGGCATTACAAATAGTTCAGGTCAGTTATATAAAGGATATATTCAAGCTTAGATAAGTTCTGAGAGTGAGAGTCACTTCCTTTAGTATTTACTTATAGAATGATCTAAGATTATTCAAACATTACCTCGGAATATATGACTATATACTTACCCTATATTTTAGGCTTCTTAGCAAGTAAAAGGCAGTGGCCAGGTAGACCAAAAGCAGAATAAAAAAGTGGTTGGATTTCTATTGGAATCCAGTTCGGGAGGATTTTCCCTAAAGACAAAGATGTAACAAGGAGAGGGCATGTAAGTATAAGTCAGCGAGTAAATTCGTGGTTCTGTGGCACAATCGACCTCTTGTCCGTGGAAAATAGGGCTGTGGTTCCGACGGAACTTCCGCTGACAAAAGCCGCTTTGCTTACAGGATCATTGTATAGCACTCTTGCCTTTAGCCTTGTATCTTGCGAGTGAATCAGTTCACTCAATGAGTGAAATGTTGCAATCGCAGGCTTAATAATCAAAAATAGGGGGTTAGTTCGGAAGCCGAGATGCGTCAGCATCCCTAGAAGAGCCATCAGACCTGAAAAACACCGACGAGAATTATGGAGCAGGTAAACAACAAGAAGGCATTTTGGACTTATAAATATGTGTCATGGAAGTCTTCGAGCTTTTCTTCCCTGTCATCTCGAACATTGGTCTTCTCCTCATCCGCCGCGAGCTCACGATTGCGCTCTATGTTTAGTTGCATCCTGAATCGCCGCTATCACTACGTGAACATCTGACTGTCAGAGCCAGCGCTGGAAGATGGGAATCAAGACCGGCATCACCCTCTATACCGAGGGCACTCCTAACGGCCTCAAGCCCACAATTCTACTAGCTGAGCTGGGTTTGGAGTACAAGGTACAGCGTCTCACACCTTGAGGCTATCGAAGGGGCCATGTCAGCTGACCTTCGCAAAAGCTTCACCCAGTCAACATCCCCAAGCACGAACAAAAAGAGCCATGGTTTCTCGAGATCAACCCCAACGGTCGAATTCCTGCCTTGGTCGATGAGGACGAGAATGGCAACAAGGTTACGCTGTTCGAAAGTGGCAGCATGCTGCTGTATCTTGTGGCTCGGTACGACAAGGACCACAAAGTGTCATACCCCTATGACTCTCCCGAGTACTGGGAGACCGTCAATTGGGTCAGTATTGCAATTCCAGCGTTCCGCCGCCACAACGGGTTTTATTTTTATGGAAACTGACAAACTCACAGCTGATGTGGCAGATGGGAGGGGTGGGCCCGATGCAAGGGCAAGCCAACCATTTCGCGAGTAAGTCAAGACAAGGCTTGCATTTGATTGTAGGATATGCTCGAACTCTCATCGATTGTCTAGGAATGGCCCCCGAGAAGCATGAGTACGCCATCAACCGCTACGTGAACGAGACCCGCCGCTTGTACCGCGTCCTGGACGGCCATCTTGCCAAAAGTCAATCCGGCTACGTGGTTGGTGACCGGGTCACGGTGGCGGATATCGCCTTGTGGAACTGGGTGGCTGCTTACAGTACGTGGGCGCGCTCCCCCTTACCAAAACTACAGGGCACTGACAGATACGCGCAGAATATAGTGGCCTCTCCAGCATTGACGAGTTTCCGCATGTGAAGAAATGGCTCTTCGAATTGTTGAAGCGGCCCGGCTTCGAGGAGGGTCGGAATGCCCCCGGGCCGCATATTTATCTGGAGCTCAATAAGCTCTCGGATGAGGAGTTGAATGCGAAGGGTCGCGCTGCTGGGGCTTGGATTCAAGAGGGCATGAAGCGGGATGCGGAGGTCTGATTGTGGACTTGGTTTTGTCTGATTTGGACTCTTGGGGCTTGGGTATTGTGTAGTGCGGATCCAGAACATTCTTCTCATCATGAGATTCCTGCTTTGGAGCTGATCTTTCGTCATCCTTCTTTTCCTGTGGTTTGTTTCACACTCGGATGGGCAGTTATGTGTTGAGTCCTGGCCCTGTTAGTTTTTCTAGGAATAAGAATGCTCTCATTATGTGACAACGGAATGCAAGCTATCTGCCGACTTAGAGGATATCACCAAGTGTCGAAAAGGCTATCGAAAAAAGATGGAGAGGCTTTTTGTCACTCGAACCCTCCGAGGTTCGAGTCAGCCCCTGGAGATTTAGGTACTGTGGTATGGCTATCAATAACGATACGCTGTGTCGAGAGCATATCGCCGGCCTGGGAAGAACCAGCAGCCTAGAGTATCTTGTCTTTTGCAACTCCTACTAGCTTTCAGTTTCATATCTTCTAACACCCTTCCTCTTTCATTGTATGGTGTCTGGAATGTAGGTAGGTTCTATCATCATCGATAGAACACTTCCACTTGCATAGTAAATGACGAGTGAGGTCGTCACTTGCGCATGTCGCAACATGTAAAAATGCTCTTCAATACGTGTGGCTACAACGAAAGCTTTTTACTCAAGGCTTGCAACAAACTAGGCTCTTTGCTCATCGTCAAGAATCACTGTACCCGGCGCAATGTAAGAGGATCCGGGCTGAATCATAATATATTAAATCCCTGCTTCTAGCCGAATATCAGCTATTGTGGCTGGGAACAGTGTCCGGCAAATAGTACAGGGTTGAATTAATCTATTCAATTAATTGTCCAGGCCTGTAGAATGCAATTTGGATTGTTCGTTATTCCAGATTCTGATAAGCCTGCCTGTGTTTTAAAACGTGCCATGCTGGGCTAATTAACATCTCTTTCTGACAATCATGCTGGACCCATCCAGCCACTACGGCAGAGCCATTCCTCAAAAGAGGATGCCTTCAACCCTAGTTCCTCAAAGGAGTGGTCCTCGTGTTCATCGAAGGCACCGTAACAAATCTTGTCCGCTGGCAGTATGGCAGCCCATTCCATCATCTCTGTGGCATCCCTTTGGAAGGCTGGCCCAACGAACGGAGCTGTCATTTCGCCGAACTCCTCTGCGGTTATCGGTTCATGAACTGCGGGCTGACCGGTGACCCTTGTAAATGTCTCTATCATCTCAACAGGGGTGACTCGAGAGCTTAGCACAAAGTACGTCTTGCCACGGGTTTTTTCAGTACCCATCTCGAACACCCCTACCCGAGCAAGTTAACATGTCAGTCATACTTCAAGGCATCTCTAAAGTTCGATGCCATGTAGATTTGGGAAAGGGACTTACTGGATGCAAACATGCCCATGTCATGGATTGGATCGGTCCACTGCGCAACCTGGCCGCTGGGGATGGGGATGCGAAACCGAACAACACCGTCCGCTATTGAATCATCGCATCAATCCGGAATTGTTTCGAGAACTAGGCATTTCGAGCTGAACTTACATCGACGGTCAGAGTATTGAGGCCAATACAAATTGGTATAAAAGAACCCTGCGCGAAAATCAGTGTCAGTAAAAGGTGTGCAGCTGTGGATCCCCACAGCAATCTGTGCTGCAGAATCACGCACCCGGAATAAGACAAGTCACCGCGCTGAGTTTCTCCTTTGCAAATTTCTCGACCTCATGCTTGTTATTCATGTGATGGATATTCGGGAATCGACCTTCTGTGGCGCGGACCATATCCGGCAAGCTACTGAAGACGAAGTGCTTGACACCACAAGCCTCCGCTGCCAGGACGATATGACGTCCTGCCTCCACCTCGTGTTTCAGGTCTTCCTCTTTGTGCAAAACCCTTCCAGCTTGGGTCTCGGATGTCATGGCAAATACGCCGTATGCGCCTGCGAAGGCGGCTTGGAGGGACGTTTGGTCATCGACGTGCCCGGGCACGAGCGACAGGCGTTGGTCGACGGTCTGGTGGTCGGCCAGGAATTGCCTCGCTTTCGTCGAATTGGGATCTCGTGTGGTCCCACGAACATGCCAAAGGCCTCCGTCCGGTATTCTGGAGCCCAGCAAGGCACGAACAATACCCCCTCCTTGATTGCCGGTGGCTCCCATGACCACTATAATGCGGGAGGTGTCGGGGACAGACATTTTTCCTAGCGTGCAATGTTGTCGGATACACAAATGACAGTATACAAAGATGGGAAACGAGCGTTCTATGGGTTGAAGAGTAGTTTAGCTGTATGGGTGGTTGTGGATTGGAATGAAATCCGACGTATAAATAGTGATTGTCGCATTCGTCAGGCTTTTGTACTTGTTTTCTCAACTGGGATGTACCCAGTGGGATACCGGCGGCCTCCACGAAGCTAGAGTACCCCGCATTGGAAACTAAAGAAACCAAGTTGGAAAACGAAAATACCCTCAGAGCTGAGTGATGGCATTGGAGGGAAGAAGTTGTTGTCGGGATTAACTTATCAATCCACAGAATTAGTCAGCTGGCTGCCTGCTTCCGCGGAAGCAGCTGAGTTATGGGGATACTTAAATTACCAAGCAGCTCCATGGAGGTGCAAGTCCCTCCTGAGAAGCCAATTCTGACAAGCTACAATGGAGTCCGATAATCGTCCAAGAAAGGTCGGGATCAATCCGAAACCCCGTAGTGTGTCCCAGGAAGCATTGTTTAACTGTTTCGAGCAGGCATGCGACCTATGTTATACTCGCAAGATCAAGTGCGACGGGCAGGAGCCCCGTTGCTCCAACTGCATCAACTATGCAACAGAGTGTACACACATTGCTCTGCGCCGTAAAGCCAGACCGAGAGCACGACGCCGCGCGACTCAGAATTTCTCATATCAGCCAAAGGCCCCGAATCGGGCAATCCATCAAGCCGAACGGCTCGAGGAGATCGCAAGAGAAGCACCGGTTGACGATCAATCATCCGAGGATCCGAACCATGCAATTGGCACGCTAAAGCTCCCTCCACTGCCAAAGGCTATGGCAATGGTTGGAATATTTCTCAATACATTTAACACGGCGCTACCGCTGTTTCATGCCGACACGCTCTTGCGTATGGTTGGGCAGTGTTATGCCCTGCACCCGCGACAACGCGATCCACTCGTTTGGGCTGCTATCAATACCGTCTTCGCTCTGGCCAGCCAACATAGGCCCAGTAGCACGATTGAAGGCGTCTTTCATCGTCAGACTGAGCACACCAGCGAATATCTCAGCAACGCGCAATCAGTAGTCTCAACATTGATGACGGGAGACGTTTCCCTACTGAATGTACAGACACTTCTCGGCATGGTGATGGTGCTCCAGACGGCGCGTGACCCGACTCCAGCTTTGACGCTGGTATCCGCTACGATGCGTCTTGTACACAAGTTGGGCCTACACAGCCGTGCTGCATCAGCGCATCTCGACCTTGTACACAGGAGACAACACGCCCGGGTTTTCTGGATAGCATACATTCTCGACAAAGATCTCAGCCTGCGGGCTGAAATCCCTCCTGTTCAGCTTGATGACGATATTGACGTGGACCTTCCTTCTTCCTTGCCGGTGTCCCTGGATGACAATGACAACACTGCTGGCACCCTTGTCACCGATGATGGGAAAGCAAAGCTAAGTTATCTCTTTGCCCGGATTCAGCTTGCCAGCATTGAGGGCCGTATATATAGGTATCTTTACTCGACGCAAGCCTCAAAGCAGAGCCCTTTGGAACGAACTTTGCTACGCGACAGTATCAGTGTCGCATTAGATGAATGGAGAGCGTCCATCCCGCTCGAATTCGGCGCCGCGGTTGTCACCATGACCGCGAGGACCAAGCCTGCGAGTTTGGGCTTCTTGTGCGTGCTTCACTCAAGCGGTCTGCAGTGCAGGATGCTCATCAACCGAGCTCAGGCAATGGACGAGCAATGGATAACCGGGGTCCGCAATTATAGTAGGGGCATCAGCCCACTACGGATACCGCCATGCTGGGAAGGACTTGTACACGAGGCTCGAGATTTCGTGCTCTTAATCCAGGAAATTTGGTTCAGAGACAGTTGGTTCCGATGGTATCATCTCCTTACCCCCGCCCCCTCCTTTCGGAAGGTGTACGCGATTGCTAAAATCACAACAGGATAACAACCTGTCCTTACATATCTGCTACAATGCTGTTGACAGCAAACAACCTCCACAACGTCCGGCATAAGAAGGTCGAACTAGATATCGAGCTGATTGACGCTGCCCTTTCCTGGCTGAATGACCTCATATTAGAGGATCCATCGGATGCTAAGAAGAGGTTTCGAAATATCCTCACAGAGGCCGTTCATAAGGTGAAGCACAAGCTTGCTGTCAATGATAGGCTCGAGTGAGCAGGGTTCTCTATTTATAAGATCGGCTGCCTTTCTTCGGTGCTATGTTCGGCACTAGTTAACTAGTTCTTACACTACGCGAGACTAAAATGATTAGCGTACGATGACTTCCCCATCTCTATCACTGCTGACTACATAAATGATGACCGACCTCTCTCTTGTCCTGCTTACCTCCTCAGTTCTTTCCATTTCCCTCACTCACTTCGCCTCTGCTCTTCTACTCTTCTCCTCCGGGCGATATCTCAGTCTTGCATACATACAATGTCCAGTGTACAATCACAACCTCTTACCTGGGTGGTCACTGGCTGCTCCTCCGGCATTGGTGAGGCCTTGGTCCGCGCGATCTTAGACAAGGTGAGTGAGTCCCTTCCTCGATAAGGTTATACGGATGCTAATCAAATGGGTCACATCAAAAAGGGCGACCAAGTCGTTGCGACTGCCCGCCCACGCGACGGTGTCAGCGGTGGAGACCGCCTCTCGGCTCTGAAAGATGCAGGCGCTGCCGTGCTCGAGCTAGATGTGAGCAGCTCGCAAGAAGAACTCGACACTAAGGCCCGCGAGATCTGGGGGATCTTTGGCAAGGTGGACGTGTTGGTCAACAACGCAGGATATATCGATGCAGGCATTTTCGAAGAAATCTCGTTAGTTCTGCCTCTTCTCTAAAACTGTTATGAGGCTTCAAAAGACCTAAGATTTTGATAACTTCTTCTAGCGAGTCGTTCCTCATCAGCGCCCTTCGCACTAATGCTCTGGGCCCCCTCAACCTGACGCGCGCCTTTCTCCCTCTGATGCGCGCCCGGCAATCTGGAACGGTGCTCTTCTCTAGCACTGTAGGAGTCTACTACGGTGCGCCGGGGGCTACGAGCTACACTGGTGGCAAGGGTCTGTTGGAGACTGTCGTCCCCAACCTGGCCCTCGAGCTGGCACCCTTTGGGATCCGGACCTCGCTCCTGACCTACGGCTACTTCCGCACGGAGGTGATGGCGCCCGGCAATATTCAATACCGGGCCCCTCGCCAGCTGCCGGAATATGTGGAAATGAATCGTCTGGTGGCGGCGGGTTGTGCGGCGTCGAACCACAATCAGTCGGGCGATCCTGCGAAGGCAGCTGCGGTGGTTGTCGAGGCGGTTAAGGGGACCGGCCGCTGGCAGGGCAAGCAATTGCCGTTGCGGTTGCCCATTGGGAAGGATGCTATCAGTGCCATCCGCAAGGCTTGTGAAGAGAAACTAGCGATCTGTGCGGAGCTGGAGGGGATCGTAGATCACACCGATCTTTGAAGATTCTTTCACGAAACTTTGATGATGATTGAAGGTACGGTACTTGTTTTGCTGAGAGGACGTCTATAGAATTATCTGTCAGTGGGCTTGTACATGACTTGTCGATGTGATCCAAGTTACTCGCAAACCAAAAGGGTATAAGGCGGTAGCCTGACACGATCGCTGAGATCAGTGGTATGTGCAGCATCGGACAGAGTAGGCATCTAAGACCAGATAGTTTGAGAGGGCTGAAGACTCACCAAACTGGTGAGTGACAGGAATGCTAGCCATGCGTTCAACATGCACTGTCAGATTCGGGATGTGAATTGGTTTGACATTCACTTCCTAATCAGGAAGGTATGGCATGCCGGAACTGCAGGCATGTGAGGCGTCATCCCATCCTCATCCTTTCCTCATCCACCGAAAAACTTCTACCCATCACATGAATGACCTCATCAAAGAAGGACAAAGGTTATTCTTATAACTGCACGCTCTTCAGCTCACACGCCAGACACCAAAACGACACGAACGCCCCGCTTGGACGTGTCAGAGACGTGATTGTGGAGACTGCCCCCATCTATACAAAGTTTACCTCGATGCCCTCGCAACCACCTTTCTAGTCAGCGATTTCACTGATCCTCAGCTCGTCTCCTTGCGCTGTTCTGGCTCTGATGTCGCCCATCATGGCTGAGAAGAGAATCGAGACTCCTCCATCCAGCCCTTCCATCTACCCTCAATCGCCTGGAGAATGGCAGGTTGCCCTCCGTGCCATAAAGCTCCTCTATGCCCAGCGACAATACAAGCAGTGCACTGCGCGCGTCTCGGAAATGCTCATGACCGCGCCAGAGCCAGTAAGTATCTAGCTCTTGGGAGGCGAGTCGACCGGATCTGAGATAAATAGCCCGAGCGAGCCTGGGACGTGCGTGAGTCAAGTACTTACACCGGTCGTGCCAGATCCATCCTGTTCACCAGACTTTCCTCTACTTCTACAGCGCCATCTGCTATGAGGCAATGGGCCTTTCCGCTCACAATTACTCTCACAGCAAGCTCCCATTGCTGCACTCTGCTCTAGACTGTTTCATCAACTGCAGTGCTGTCTTGCCGTATCCCGTCCCAACCACCGAGCGCTACTCGCACCTGTCCGAGGCCTTATTTACTTCAGTCGCCTCGGATTCGTCCTCGTATTCTGACTCCCCGGGATCGAGAACTAGGCCCTCGAGCCTTGCAAGCAGCCTTGCGGATATGATCGAACGATCTCTTATCTACGGCAGCGTGGATGAGGATCCGTTTGTCTCACACGAGGGCGATGATGAAGCTAAGCAATTTCAAGAGGAGCTATGCACAGGGATTCTAGCTACAAGCGCCAGTCAAAGCCACTTAGTTCCATCTCCCTTGAATGTCAGAAAACCTTCCGGGGCTTCTGTTTCTACCATATCGGGCACTTGTGATGATGCACCGAGAGCAAGCGAGACCAGTGATTTACATGCTATGGCAAGTCGCCCGATGGACAGCAGTGCCGGCACAAGCAAGATTCCTCTTGCTCGTCCACCTCCCCGGGTCCCCCTCAAAGTTGCTCCACGACACGTTCAAACCCCTTCTCCCGAACCTCGACACGAGGCACACCTCGCAGAAGCCATTTCTAGCTTGGAAGAAGGGCGGAGAATTCTTCCATACCCCACAGAGTACTCCAACCATATCTCGAACTACAACAGCAGTATACGCTCTCTTAATACCCAGATCGCCTCAAGCATCACCACTATCCGGGCCATGATAGAGGAAGTAAACGAGATGCAGCACGCGCGCCGTGTATCGAAGAGCATCCGACGCTCAGCTTCTTTCTGGAGCTTCAGTCCTGTGAAGGAGGGAGATCGAAATTCTTCTTCGTTAGCTGTATCTCATGCCAAGTCTGCGGATAACAGCTCGGGACGAGTACTCGTCACAGAGAGCATGGAGCAGCGGATTGAGAGGCTACGCAATGAAGGGTGGCAGACAGTCGGGACCAAGTCTCGACGACGAGGGTGGAAGGGAGAGGAGTACTACCGGGCCTACTGCTCCAGGGTCTTGGAAGAGCTATATCTGAAGGAAGTGCAATGATTGATTGTTCTTGCTGGTTGCATGGATTTATTGGCGTCTGAGTTGCATTGAGTTTGTTTGCCTTTGGCGTGTCGGCCTAGCGATCTTTGAGGGTTGCACTTGGCGTTGACGATTGCATATGCATAGCATGGTTGCGAGGTTTGTACAGGTAACTTAGCAATGGGGTGATAATTGTAAGGGTAGTCAGCGATGGCCTGTCTATACTTTCTCCAGATGCAGAAACTATCTGAGGTTGATTGCATTGAGGAGCTGTGAGGTACAAACAGTGGAGCCGGTGCCCAGAACGCAGTGATTTCCGAGCCGGCAACACAGCACTAATTAGGGCAACCAGATAGCCACTGCCCCTTCACCTTGTATGCGTCGGGGATCGATAAGTGGACACAGGATGCATTTCATGCATGTCATTTGTTTATTTCTCGAGACTTCCATGCATTGACTTCGTGAAACACAGCGATCGTGACTGAGTACTTCAACACCAGCAGTGATAGGGCCGCGAAGCCAGTGGGTCGTATCAGGGTTGTTTCACAAGGCTCTGCGCAAAAAGAAAAAAGAAAAAAAAAAGACAGATTGGCTCCAAGCCCACGCGATCCAATCAATTCCGGGCAATTAAACTACAGACTTTTTGTGGCAGGTGATAGTTGAGTTACAGCTCCGATTGAGATAGATCCGATTTTGCGGTGCTTTAGTCCTAGGTAGTTTTTGTCCCCTTTGGGCTTGGGGGCCAAAAGTAGCTTGCCTGTGGTTTTACCCAGTGACAGTGTACGAGTACGAATTGCTAAATATAGCTAGCTAGCTAGCTGACTTGGCGTGAGTGTTCGGCAAAGGAGTACTCCGTAGGTAGTGACAATTGCTGTGGGCGTTGGTGGATTCCCAAATGTCTTACTATAGGCAGTAGGACAGTATTCCTATAAAATCTGAGGGCGGCACAAATTTGGGTGAGGGAGAGGAGGGAGGAGGCGCCTGGAGAATTAATTAAACAGGTCAACAGGGCTGATTTAGCGTCAGGGACTGGACTGGCGGTTTCAGGTTCAGTGCGCGACATGACTGTTCGGTGGGGTGCCTGATTGGCAAGGCTGCATGTTATTGCCTACACTCACCTAGTATTTTTGGGTGGATTTACTCCCTACTCTCTACCTAGTACCTAGTAATGGTCATGAGGACGGACTGGATTGGCTTGAACCATTGGGCTGAAGATTCAGTTCCGTTGGGAGTTGACGTCAAATACGACAGCTTGATTGCTTGCGTAGAGCAGAGGACCAGTCGTTACTGTACGGAGAGAGCTCCAATAATGCGGCAGCCTTGTATGTACTTCAGCCGTGGCTGTGCTTCCACCACCCACGGGCTAGAACTTTGTACTTCCGTACTTCCTCCCGCTCACTAGGTTACCCTTCCCACTATCTCCCTCTCTCTCCCTAACTAACTCTCACCTTTCTTTTCAAATAAAACCCTCGCTGGCCCTTATACCTCTCTCTTATTGACGTGCTCTGCCTGATTCTCTTATACTCACCCTCACTCTGCATTGCATTGCCTTGCACGTGCATTGCCGATTCACGCCTCAGGTACCGTACCGCTGCCACCCGCCCGTGTTTACACCCTCCTCCACCCTCTTTTTTTACACTTTACCCCCCCCCCCCCCCCCCCTTATCGCTCATCCGCAACTTGTCTGGTCTTCTCCCCCCCTGGATTTTCTACCTCACACCTGACGCAGTTTAGTTCTTCCTTCTGATCTGGTCATATACTCACCCGTAATCACTGCTCCTCTAGTTCAATCTCTTTCCCACGACCCTCGACCGTGATTTTCTCCGACCTCGTTTGAACCGCCCCGCTACTACTCGCACGTGCGGGGTTTCCCATCGATTCTTCGCGCGCTCGCTGGTCAGAGCCCACCGCACACTACTTTTTAGATCCTAAGGCCAGGACATCGGCCTTAATCCCCCGTCGAGATGAGTTGTACGTTGTCAGCCTCTTTCATGCTTGCGTTCTCATCACCCACCCTCGTTCCACGAGACATAGTCCACGCCTCGTGGTAGCTTCGCTTGCCTTGAAGCGCTATCGCTGCTCCTTATCCTATCTCCTATCTTTGCTTGTGTCTTGGAGCTGGTGGACTTCACAACACAACCGCCCATGGATACCTCGTTCCCCATCACCTTGCTCTGTGACCCCAGTGTCCGGGTCTGGGGTGGATTCCTCATTCTGATCTGCTTTCTTGGTCCGCCAATCTCGTGAGGCATTGTTGTTGTCTCCGTTTTCCTTATACCGTCTATCTGTCTTGCTGTGGGAGTGTGTGGCTCATGTGCATTGATCCGTCGCTTATTTTGCAAGCAAATGACTCGACCGACATGCGCTAACTTTGGGGTTTCTTTTAGTCTCTAATATGCTCAACAAGCTGTCTGGACAGCCGGAAAGCTACGAGAAGAAGTACAGCTCTCCACCCTTTCCCCCTAATACTCTCTTCGTGTGGCAGGCGTACTAAGAAGTGCTTTGTGCTCTTTCTGTATAGGTCCCACTACAAATTCGGAAGAACGCTCGGTGCTGGCACATATGGTATCGTTCGGGAGGCGGATAGCAGCAAAGGGAAAGTCGCGATTAAGATCATCCTGAAGAAGAATGTCCGAGGCAATGAGCGCATGGTCTACGATGAGCTGGAGATGCTTCAGGCTCTGAACCACCCCAATATCGTCCACTTTGTCGATTGGTTCGAATCGAAGGTCGGTCAACACGGTGGCTCGCCTCGTCGTTGCTTTTCTCTCTAACAGCTCGATAGGACAAGTTCTACATTGTCACGCAACTGGCCACGGGTGGAGAGTTGTTCGATCGCATTTGCGAATATGGAAAGTTCACAGAGAAGGACGCCTCTCGAGTCATCCGGCAGGTGCTCGGTGCCGTACATTACCTGCACGAGCGGAACATTGTCCACAGAGGTGAGTTCGCTCCTGGACCCGCTTCCAGATTCTGCGAATTGTCTTGCGCAGAAACTGATTTTCATCGTATGCGACAGATCTGAAGCCCGAGAACCTTCTATACCTCACCCGCGCCCCCGATTCCCCCTTGGTCCTGGCTGACTTCGGCATCGCCAAGATGTTGGATAGCCCCAGCGAGGTGCTCACCAGCATGGCGGGATCGTTCGGCTACGCTGCGCCCGAGGTGATGCTGAAGAAGGGCCACGGCAAGGCCGTCGACATGTGGTCCCTCGGCGTGATCACCTACACCCTCCTGTGCGGCTACTCGCCCTTCCGGTCCGAGAACCTGACCGACCTGATCGAGGAGTGCCGCACGGGGCGGATCATCTTCCACGAGCGCTACTGGCGCGACGTCTCCCAGGACGCCAAGGACTTCATCCTCACGATGCTGCAGCCGGACCCCGCCAAGCGCGTGACGTCCGAGGACGCCCTGAAGCACCCCTGGCTGACCGGCGAGACTGCCAGCGACCGCGACCTGCTGCCCGAGATCCGCGCCTACATCGCCCGCTCGCGTCTGCGCCGCGGCATCGAGATCATCAAGCTGGCCAACCGCATTGAGTCCCTCAAAATGCAGGAGGACGACGACGAGGATATCCCCAGCGTCGTCGATGTGGCTGGCGGCGAGGCCGCCGACGCCGCCGCCGCCGCCGCTGCCCCCCACTCGACCGACCCGGCCTCCCCCAACGGCAAGTCCGCGCCCTCGTCCCCGGAAAGCGACGCCACCCGCAAGAAGCGCAGCCTCAGCAAGGTCGCCCGCGGCGCAATCTTCCGGGAGGTTGTCCTGGCCAAGGTGCGCGAGGCGAAGGAGACCGAGGAGCGCGAACGTGTGGAACGCGAGGCTCGCGAGAAGACCTCTCATGCTTGATTTGGTGGTCTGCGTCTTACGAAGTTTAGCGAAGCTTACCCATAGAGTGAGGGAGATGGTGTGAGATGTCTTTCCGACCCTACTATCTGTGTGCCCACGTTTGCTCTTTTTTTTCTCAAATGGGGGCAGGGGGCATTGGCTTTTTATTTTCCTTGCTTTTTTTCTTTGGACACCATGAACACACACACCGTGGAGAGGAGAATGCTCCCTCTGCAGTTTTCTTTTCTTTTCAAATGATTCCCCGTCCATAGTTTCCTTATCTTCTAGTGGGTTGTCCATCTTTGTGTGAACGAGAATCTGATCATTGGTGCATCTTCGCGTTTTGGCTGTTACATCGTACAGTATCTAACGAAGTTAAGATAAAGTCACAGAGTTATATTAGTAAAGATATAGTGGTTCATTTCTTGAATCCACAGGCAGAAGGAGAAACAAGGCAAGACGGGGAAGCATTAGGCACGGCAGTAAGATATATGAAGTCCCCGAATGCCAGAAGACGGACGATATGGGAGATGCGGGAGGGAGATAACTACGTGTGGACACCAGCCTCAGCCTCAGCTTCAGCCTCGGCTCAGCCAAGGGAATCAATCGAAACCAGAAACACATACCAAAAAGAAAACTCCAGATACGCCCGCGCCAATAAACCAACCCCCGCATGCAGATGGAAACACAACCGACGACAAGGCGGCAGAATAGAACCCAAGAACGAAGCTGCGGGAAAGAGATCACTCAGAAATGGACTTCGGCTCCCTGTTCCCTCTCCCCTTCTCCCCTCCAAGCCCATCGCTCAGCACAGGGCCATCGTCCTCGCCTTCAACCACCACCCCCAAACCGAAACCCCCCTCCCCCACCCCCAATCCCAACCCCGGATAGGAAGAGAAAGCGCTATACATTATCATCATCGTACATGAAATTAATATCCCGGGGCCGGCGGCGGTTATACGAGACGAAGTCCTTGTCGCCGGGGGGCCGCTCGTTGCGGCTGTTGGCCGTCAGCATGCTCTGGATGCTCATGCAGACGCTCTCGACGGTCTGCACGGGCGACCAGCCGGCCGAGCTGAGGAGGTCGAGGCAGATGATCCCGTTGCTGTAGATATGCGGGTGGATGGGGATAGTGCGGCGGGGGTTTGTGATTGCATTATCATCGGAGGAGGCGGGGGGGGGGGAGGTGGGTGTAGGTGTGGTGACGAATTGAACTTCGGGGGGTTCTGGATTTTTTTCCCAATGAGATTAGTATTGCATGTACTGGCATATGTGATTGCAGAGGGATTTATGTAGATGAGAGGGTGTGGTGGTGGTGGTGGTGGTGGTGGTGGTGGTGGTGTTCAATGCTTGAGTGGGAGAGCAGCGCGGGGTTGGGATTCAGATCGCGGGGCATCATCCATCCATCCCCATCCATACTTGTGGCAGCAGGGGGAAACCGTACCAATTGGATATTTCTTGCTGAAGGTGAACTTCAACCGGTAGGTTTCGTTCAGATACAGCGGATTCTCGTCCAGCACTTTGATGTCCATGAGCCATTCTTCGAGGTTGTCGGATTTGACGATCGAGATGCCGGGCGGGAGGTGTTCTTTTATCTGTGTGCCACGTAAAAGGCGCCGGGTGTTAGCTGGTGGACTGGGTCTTTTTTTTCGAGGGGTGTGTTGGGTTAGAGAGTGGAATGTCGAGAAGAGCGAGGTTCTTGCTGAAGGTAAATCCCATGATTGTTGAGGGATTCGTGGCGGGGGAGGGGGGACTCCTTCATACCTTGAGAAGCTCCTGCGACGGACGGTGTAACGTTAGCCGGGGAAACTTGTCTTCGCGGGGGGATGGGACGGAGAGGCAAAAGGAAGAGAACATACCTTGCTTAACCGCTTTGTAGCGAACATCTTGTGGATAAGGATCTTGCACAGCACACGCCCAGAAGGTCAAAGGCATCCACCTCGGGTTCCAGCGGTGTTCAAGTATAAAAGCCAGCGGCCGTTGAGTGAGGCTCTGCGGAGTCGAGTCGTACGGTCAGTTCGGAGATGACGTCTGGAACTTTATGGGTGGGGAGATGCGAAACAAGAATGCAGTGTCTCTGGAAGGGAACTGTTGGAAGAAGAAAAGACCGAGTAAGAAGAGGTAGCTGCGAAAGTGGGGTGTTTCTGTGGCAGAAAGGTCATGCAAGATAATTTGTATGAAGCAAAGAAAGAGTGCGTCTGATCTATGGAATGGAAAGAGTGGACTAGCTCCGCTCGTCGATCAGCTGGAGATCTGCCCGAGGCACCCCGTCACCTGATCAGACCTTCCCCACGTGATCGTCCTGTCCGCCGTATATACAGTCCCGTATGCCGTACATGATCAGGTCAACTTCCTTTCCCTCGGGACCAATTCAGGTCATCATACTCTCTTTCATCCAAATCCCCTACCCCCTACCCCCTACCCCCTACCCCCTTCTTCTCACTGATATGTTTCCAAAATCAGATGTTGTCAGAAAGTTTTGGTGTCACTATACACAGGGTGATTTGAAGATATAAAAGGAAACTCGAGACATGGTCACAGTGCAGGACGAGACAGAAAACACAGGAAATCAGAACAAACATAGTCAACGCCATGAAAACCAATTGGTACAACTGATATATCCCCACAGCTCCCTGGTCCCACACACTTCCCATACACGCACAAGTGATATAGACAATGAATCTCTTTTTCTCTCTTGGTCATTTGTATTCGCTTCTAAATAGCAAAAGAAAATGGTTGGGTGCCCCATATCAGAATCACGTGTCTTGAAGCTGTTTTACAGGTCCTGGAAATACTCAGCCACGCTTCATCCAACTCTACCGATCGACTTCACCGAACACAAGATCCATAGTACCTAACAAACAATTAGCTGGTTGTCTGGAAATCTTTCTTGAAAATGGCAGAACATACCGATAATAGCAACAGCATCGGCCAACAAGTGGCCACGAGATACTTGGTCGAAACCACCCAAGTGGGCAAATCCGGGAGCACGGATCTTGCAGCGGTAGGGTCTCTCGCTACCGTCACTGACCAGGAACACACCCATCTCACCCTTGGGAGCCTCGATGGCGGAGTAGGTCTCTCCGGGGGGCACAGAGTAGCCCTTGGTGAACAGCAGGAAGTGGTGGATCAGAGCCTCCATGTTCTCCTTCATGGCGGCACGAGGAGGAGGGGAGATCTTGTAGTCCTCGACACGGACGGGACCAGCGGGCATCTTGTTCAAGCACTGGTGGATAATGCGGAGGGACTGGCGGAATTCCTCCATACGGCACAGGTAACGGTCGTAGCAGTCACCGTTGACACCAACGGGCACGTCGAACTCGACCTGGTCATAGGCATCATAGGGCTGCGACTTGCGGATATCCCAGGGGACACCGGATCCACGCAACATGACACCGGTGAAACTCATGTTCAGAGCCTCGGCGGCGCTGACGACACCGACACCCTGGGTTCTGGCCTTCCAGATACGGTTGTCCGTCAACAGCTCCTCAGTCTCATCAATGCGGTCACCGAATTGGGTGGCCCACTGGTAGATATCATCGAGAAGACCGATGGGGATGTCCTGGGACACACCACCGGGGCGGACGTAGGCAGCGTGAAGACGGGCACCCGAAACTCGTTCGTAGAATTCCTAGGACAAACAATCACAGATTAGCTCAATTGAGCTCAAGTGACACGGACAGCGCGGCCTACCATGAGCTTCTCACGTTCCTCGAAGCCCCACAAGAAAGGCGTCAAAGCACCAACATCCATGGCGTGTGAAAGGACGGACATGAGGTGGTTCAGGATACGGGTGATCTCGCCGAACAAGGTACGGATCCACTTGGCTCTGTCGGGGATCTCGACGTTCAACAGCTTCTCAACAGCCAGGGAGAAGCACTGCTCGTTGGTCATCATGGAGACGTAATCCAATCGGTCGAAGTACGGCAGGGCCTGCATATAGGACTTGTACTCTATCAACTTCTCGGTACCACGGTGGAGCAATCCAACGTGGGGATCTGCGCGGACGATCTCTTCACCATTGAGCTCCAGAATCAACCGAAGCACACCGTGAGCAGCCGGGTGCTGGGGACCGAAGTTGACGGTGTAATGGCGGATCTTGCGATTAGCCCCTGCGTCCGTGGACTCCATGTCGGCGGCGTAATCGTCTTCGGAGGCACCTTCCTTATTGGCGAAGGAGGAAAAGGTCGGGTCAGTCGGAATGAGCTTCGTCGCCTGGTAGCTGGTCGGCTCGGCCGCCCGGCGAGGCAGAGTCGTCGTGATCGAACGGCATCTGGGGAGAGCGGTGTTTCTGGAGAAGGTAGAGGGGCGGAGGCAAAGCCTTTTGGGCGCATTGCCCGCCAGGCGAGCGAAGGGAGCAGCCATTCGGAAGAGCGGGGAGCAAGGACGAGGGTGAGAAGAGGCGGAACAGCCCTCAGCCCAGACACAATGGAGGTGTTGGAAGGAGGGGTGGAGATGCGGGAATTGGAGTGTGGAATTGAGGCGGACTCAGTGACGCCTTCTGGAGGTTGCGCTTTCCAATCGAGATACATTTTGGGTCGTCACGTGAGAGGAGCTTTCTGGTCATCAGGCCGTCTCTGGTTGGTCTCCCGCTGGGCCCTCTATTGCTCAGTTCCCTAGTGCGGCTGACAGCTGTTCCCGCCGGGTGCAGAATAGAGTCCTGCTCTGCTTCCCCTCCCGCTCTTCGCCGCCTTTGGCCCTGCAGAAAATACTGCCGCTGCGGTCAAAGAACTTTTCTGAGAATCCGCTTCAAATTATTGTCCCTCCGTCACCTTCTTCATTCCCCCACTTTTCTCGCCCATCATGGCACCCCTCATCGCTTCGCAGGAGGAACTCCAACGCAGACGGGTATGTTTGGCTCCTCTGCTCGTGCTTCCAACAGCTTCTCCGACCTTTTATACTAATTGCGATCCCAGATTGTCGACATCAATCCCGAAACCGTCTCCAACTTCGCCTCGACAGATTTCCCCGGTCACTGGCCTGGCGAGTCGCACGAATGGAACTTGCAAAAATTCCGTGATGTATGTCAAGCTCAACTCCGCCCAGCTCTCACTGCCAAGCCGTCTCTTGCGCGCAATGCGCTTACATATCTAACCCTCGCCCAATAGAACTTCAACGTCGAGTTCCACCGGAACGAGCAATTCGAAGCTTCCTTCTCGCTGGTTGGCGTCGACGCCTCGATCGCCAATGCCTTCCGCCGCATCCTCATGGCTGAAGTGCCCAGCATCGCCATCGAATTCGTCTTCGTCCACAACAACACCTCCGTCATCCAGGACGAGGTGCTCGCGCAGCGGCTGGGTCTGATCCCCCTCAAGGGCTCCGTGGAGGGCATCAACTGGATGCGGTGGTTCAAGAAGCCGACCGAGGACGACCCGGAGGGCGGCAGCACCCCGAGCGACTTCAACACCATCGTCCTGCGCCTGGATGTCAAGTGTGAGAAGAACCCCCACGCGGCCGACGGGGAGGACGACCCCCGCAAGCTCTACAAGCACGCCCACGTCTACGCCCGGGACATCACCTTCCACCCGGTCGGTCGGCAGGACCAGTTCTTCGTGGACGACGCCGCCATTCAGCCCGTCAACCCGGACATCCTGATCGCCAAGCTGCGCCCCGGCCAGAAGATCGACATGGAGCTGCACGTCATCAAGGGCATCGGCGCCGACCACGCCAAGTTTTCCCCCGTCGCGACCGCCTCGTACCGTCTCCTGCCCGACATCAAGATCCTGCGCCCCATCGTCGGCGAGGATGCGCGCAAGTTCGTCAAGTGCTTCCCCGCCGGGGTCATCGGCCTGGAGCAGGTCACCCGCGAGGAGGCTTCGCAGAAGGGAAGCGGGTACGAGGGTCACGAGGGCGAGATGAAGGCCGTCGTGCGCGATGCCTTCAAGGACACCGTCAGCCGCGAATGTCTCAGGCACGAAGAGTTCCAGGGCAAGGTGAAGCTCGGTCGCGTCCGTGATCACTTCATCTTCAACGTGGAGAGCGTGGGCCAGTTCGACAGCGACGTGCTGTTCCTGGAGAGCGTGAAGGTGCTGAAGCTGAAATGCGCGAGATGGAAGCGGGGTCTCGTTGACCTGGCGCGCTAAATTCGGCCGTTCCTCGTTGCCGTTCCTCCCCCCACCTAAAATGATTTGAAGCTATATAATGCATTGGCCAGGCGTTGGATTTCTCCTTTTTTGTTCTTGTCTTGTGCTTTCTTATTTCTGCGTTTGTACATTTTACGAAAAAGGTTGGTTCACACAAACCTTCTTTACAACTTGCCGGGAGTCCGGACAGGGAAACATCTTTGAGATAGAAAAAGCAGATTTGACTCCTACTACTTCTTGACATGGCTCATCGTTGGAGAATTCGTGTATTCTTCGTAAAGCTAAACTAGTGTGCATCTGCACTATATATTCCCGTATCCGCAGCTTATGGTGTGCACTCTTGGCTTAGCTGAAATCCAGCCTGTACCGGAAATCGATGGTATAGGCCGGGTCACTGACTGCGATCTCCTGGCCGTCCGCGATCAGATCGCTGAGCTTGAGCTTCAGATTGGACCGGGTCTGCTCCTCCAACTGCGGCGGGAAGCGCTGGTAGAGGGTCTTCTCCTCCGTGCGCATGCTGGGCTTCTTCAGCTGCGCCTCGGGTCGCTCGCCCAGCGCCTCGATGAAGGCTTCCAGCGTCATGTTCGGATCGACAGTCATCGCGCGCGCGAGGTTGCCGCAGACGGGGCAGTCGGGTTTCTTCTCCGCCTCGAAGGTGTACGTGTAGACGCCCTCCTCGCCGGCGTACATCATGTAGTTCTCCAGGTACGGGTTGCACGAGGTGGCGATCTTCAGAGCCTCGGAGGTGGTGGCGGCGGCGATAACGGCGTTGGTCGAGGCGATGGCCGGGATGATGTTCTTTACCACGCCCTGGGTCATCTGGAAGGTGACGCCGGGGATCTGGAACTGGCGGGCCCGCGCCAGCGCCGCATTGTAGATCCAGCCGATGTGCTCCAGGTCGTCGCTGTCGAAGGTGTCGTCCTTGCGCTGCTCCTGCCACGCGATCTGATGGGCCCATTCGATGCAGTGCTGGGGCTGGCGCGGGATGGTGGCGATGGTGCATAGCGGCACCGCCGGTCGGGGCGCGTGCATGTCCAGCTGGCACTCGATGCAGGAGGAGAGCGTCGGCAGAATCACACGCGCTTGGCCCTTGAACCCTGTTTTCCTGGCCATGAGCCTCTGCTGTGTGTGTGTGTGTGTGTGTGTGTGTGTGTGTGCGTGCGTGTGTGTGTCTGGGAGAAAGCAAGGGACACACTTACCTTCGGTTCCGCCATCGATGAGGGGCTTCAGGCTCTCCGGGTTCTCAAAATCAACCATGCCGACCAGGGTCGAGTTGATCCATCGTCGGGCTTCGATGCTGTCAAGGCCGCAAACAACGATCTTGAATTGCATGTAGTAGTCTTCGTCTTTGTCTTGAATCTTGCCGACATAGGGGGTGATCTTCACGCCTTTGACACGCTTCTCCACAAACGCAGCCGCAACTTCGGCTTTAGGCTTGCCGATGTCAGATTGACGGAACAAGAACTGACGGTTGAGGTTGGAGATATCAATTGTGTCTGTCCTGGTTGATTAGCTGACGTTCAAGTCGCGTGCGGTGATGAAGGGCAACTTGCCCATGTCAATGACGTGAATGTCCTTGAAGCCTGATAAGGCCAGGTTCTTCAGGATTTCACATCCTAGGCCTCCAGCACCTCTATGGACGGTCCCGGTCAGCTCTTATCAGGTTGTTGATGATTGTTTCTGAGCTTACATGACTCTACTCCATGTTAGTGAGCAGAACATCTCAGACAAATTCTGAGACTTACAAGACCTTGGATGATTCTAGCGTGTTTATCGTCTCTGGTCCAGGGACCCAGTCCTCGTCACTGAATGGGCCGGACCTCGTTAAGACATTGTACAAGTGCTTCCTGGATGAGTTCAGTATCTGTGCTCGTGATTCGCCGGTTCAAAGAACTTTACCATCGAAGCTTTTGGTCTATGGCAGCCATTCTGGTGAGATGGTGTTATGAACAAGCTAAGTGTGGCACACTGGAACCGCTGATGTTCCAGGTCTCCGGGGCGCGTGTATCTCACCGGTACAGCCGAGATACAACTGATCTGGTGCTTTCCGACCGCTGGATTGCACACAAAACTGAATGATATAGCTGGCCTATGTTTCAAATCTTCCGATCTTCCGCAGCTGTTTGTGCAACACGGCGGAGGATGAGCCCACAAGAAGTTCGCTGGTGACGAGGGGCAAGCAAGTTGGAGTTGAATCCTCGATCGTTGGAGGAACCGGAATCCGAATACAACACGCCGCCTCACGTGACATGACATCCCCCATACAAACTCCTTCCACCTTGAGTAATTTTGCTCGTCTACACCACGAACCGAATCGACGGTTTCATCCACTCATGACATGGACAGTCTTCTCACAGTCGTGAAAACGGTCACGCCAGATCAGGAGACGCTCATCTCAGCTGCTGTCGAGTCGTCGTCTCCTGATGTCATCCCCGAGAAGCGGATTGTATCCGAACTTAATCGGAACGTCTCGTCACCTGAGGATATACTAGCGCTCTTGAAGTCCAAGCCCGACCAGGGCCGACTCGCGCACGCCCTGGCAATCCTTGACCCGGCAAGTAAGACAGCGACGCTGAACGACTTTGACGTTCGGGTCCCAGGTCCCAAAACAGCGCAGATCCTCAATGTTCTGGTCACCGTTACTCTTCCGGATCATTGGGATGCAGTCCACGCGGAGTCCCGAAGATCGAGATCGAGCTCCAAGCTACGTGCGGCCTTCTTAAGATGTCTAAGTAGCGTTGCAGGTATCAGTCGCTTATTGGCCCAGCTTCGCTCTCTCATCACCGCCTGTCGGTCATCTGCCCGGGAAGCGAGTGCATCGGGCCATCAGCTCCAGCTCAGAGGCATCCTGTCAGTGATATGTGCTCTACTGGAGCCCAATGATCTAATGTACCGTCTGTATACCGATATCGAAGGTCTCTATCGTAATCCGGCTCAGAAGCAAGCGGCATGGAGGGAATTACTCTCCCACGTTGCTGCTAGTAGGATCCTCTCAACGGCTGCGGAAGCGATTTCACTGATTAAAGACCTCGATGGGGTCAGCTCTTTGTCCTGGGTGGGAGAAGGGCCCAAGTATGCTTCCTGGCTCGGCACAAATATATGTCACATGGCTTCAAAGTTGCCTCTTGATAATGAGGGGGCTTGGAAAGCCGTGGCTACTTTGACCGGGCGGTCGTTGAGTCTTGGGTACACTGGTAAGATGCTCTACTCTACGACTATCTTCAGGGTTAACGTGAATTCTAGATCATCTAGTGCGGGAAATCTATCTGGGACTTCTTGTAAACGAAGCGATCTATCAACAGTATTATACTCTTTTCGACCATCTGCGACCGAATGAGCAAATCGCAATCATAGAAGCCATATTCAGAGACATTGAGAAGAAGCATTTCTCATCAATTATCCTGGGTGAGACACAGAGTGTTTCACAAGAAGTGCTTGGCGCTGTTGCAGCCTTATGCTCCCTTATCACGAAGGATAGGCCGCAAGTACAGGCACAGATTATCGATTGGCTGTCGAAAGGCCAGGGCGGCTCCATACGTACGATCGAGCTACGCCGTGCACTGCTGGCAAGCTTTGCTCATGCGACAGGTGAGAGAGATCATGAGTAAGCCCATCTGCTTCCATACTGACTGACATATGCTTTCGAGATTTGATGGTCTCTTTGGTTACTAAGAGCCTCGATCAGTCCGGAGACAAGCTCTACATTCAACATGCCCCGATCCGATGTCAAGAGGGTACTGTGCCCCTGAACCCCCAGTCTAGTCCTCTCACTGACATATCTCAGCAAACACGCAAGTTATTCTTCTGACTTGTGGATATCTGCAACAAACTGACCCGCTGGAGGTGATGCGTGTGGGTCGGTCTGGGATATTCCTCAACACGGTATCAAACCGTCTGGCAGCCTCTTCTGGGCAAGCGCGTTTTCTCGGGATGCTCATAGGTACAGCCATATCGCAACTGATTGAACCAGCCGGCAAGGGCATGAAGTTTGACCTTGAAGAAATGGAAAGTGATGAAGCAAAGTGGTATTTGAGCTTGCTCAAGTTACAGGACAATGTAGGATCCCCGGAGCCGATCAAGCTTCTCAAGGGGTCCACGCCGTCAACACAACGGATGCCTTCGCAGAATGTCTCTACCATTAAGGGGGCAGCGCCCTCGAAGAAAGTCAACACAAGAACGGCCAAGATTGTTGCGATCGAAGAGATCGAGGACTCGGAAGAAGAACCCGAGGACGATGATCTTATTCCATACGAGAAACCTGATGAGGATTTCTCCGATGACGACGAAGATCCGACACTGGTTCAGCGGAATAAGCCCACAGCACCTGTGTAAGCTCATGAAGCAAGCCCTCACCACAACACAACTAATTTGTTTTGTAGGTACATTCGCGATCTAATCACCTTCTTAAGAGACACCGAGAATGTCGAACGTTTCGAATTGGCCGTCTCCACCGCCCCTTCCCTGATACGACGCAAGACTGGATTCGGGACCGAGCTTGCTGAGAATATCGAAGAGCTGGCTCTTGTGGTTGTAAGCCTGCAGGAACAGGGGAAGCTTCCCAAGTTCCACGAGTACCAGCTCCAAAGCATGATCGCGTTGATCGTCTCTCAGCCACTGAAAATGGGTCACTGGTTCGCAGCGCTATTCTTCGACGGAGACCTTTCTCAACCGCAGCGCTCTGCTGTACTGACCGCGCTCGGCCTAAGTGCTCGCGAGCTAGCTGGTAACGGCGAAGCCGATGCAAAAACCCTAGGTCTTCCAGCCATGCCAGATGCCTCTTTCCCATCGAAGAAGCTACCCAGCAGCCTGGAAGCCTTCTACTCGACAGAGTCACCCATCGCGGGCCTGACCAAATCAATGGCGCGCGCTTCGCTAGAGCCGCTCGCAGCTCATGCGGAAGACTCTCTGTCCGGACCCAGCGCCCTCAAGGTGCGCACTTTCTCTTCGCGCATGGAGGTCGAAAAGAGACGCCAGCAACGTGAAGCGCAGCGGCAGAAGTCGACTGTCAAGGATCTGTACAAGGTGTTGGCACAAGGGTTCTTCTATCCCCTCAAGGGGCGTTTCGAAATGATGATGATGCAGTTCGGCTCGTAAGCCCTTCCCCATCTCCAGCGTGGAACCTTGGGGGCACACTAACTTCTTTTCTCTGCGTGCTAGATCCACTGCTCCCGCGTACAATCCCTTCTACGTGCCGCATCTCCTGTGCCTGTTCATCCAAACGCTGACCCTCGTCCTCTCAACCATGGGCCCCCACACGCCGTACCTGCCCAACCTGACGGGAGAAACCCTGACATTCTTGCTCTCACTCCACGGCCGCCCTCTGGCCGAAGACCCAAGCATCCTCTCCGCCCTCCTCTCGCTCTTCCTGGCCGTCGTCGATCTGAACGTCGCCGCCGGCACGACCGGCGAAGAGCGACTCGTCACCGTGTTTGCGACGCAGGTCGTCGAGCTCCGCGACTGGGTCGGGGAGGTCTTCGACCGGACGCCCGCCGTGCAAGACACGAGCGATCCCCGCGAGCAGGTGCGGACGTTGGCTGCGGGCGTGATGGTGAAGCTGGGGGAGGTTATGGAGAGATATCAGGGGCGGCTGATGGGCGTGAACCCGGGGTTCCGATATTAGCTTTAGTTTTAGTTTTAAGCTTTAGCTTTATTCAGTGCATAGCACAGAGATGCTGATCTGGGGACGGATATGTTGCTGTTTCGCGCAGGCATGTACCATATATACCCACTGCATCACATTAAGATCCAATACGCCCCCCTTTCCTGGTGCACTAAGACTGATACAAACCACAACAAGTGGATAGTTGCGAAAAGGAAAATGGTTTGTCTGGCGCACGCGGGAAGAGTCTATCGTGCTGTAGCAGTAGCTGTAGCCTGTAGCCTGTAAGGCAACTCCCAGGGGGGGTAAGGTAAGGGTAGGTCAGTTTAGAGGAGAGTGGGCCGTGCATGAAAATGAGGCGCAAAGAGGGGGGAGGGAGTTTGAGCGTTGCGGGTGGCGGCAGTGGTGGTGGGTGGGTTTTGGTTCCTTACTTACTTTCCACTTGACTTTTCTCGGGTTGGGGAACCTAAAAGCTCGGGGGAATGGGAAGATAATATTAGGTAGAATGCCTTCTCTGAAAGGGAAATAGCAATGGGATGTTCAAGTTTTCGATGGGCTTTTCAAGCAAGCAACCCAGCCAAAACAAAGTGCCGGATGTAGCCTTGCAACCCAGAACCTGAAAGCGCATAGAGCACAGCACGGCACACCCAATGGACAGAACTACTAGTACTCCAACAACACATCTACCATTCTTACCCTCAGAGCTATACTTGAGCTTAACACAAAATGCAAAAGTTGATGTCAAATCTTTATTAGACAATTAATGTATGTAGCGACCGTGGGTGACACTGTTGCTTGTGTCTCTAAATGTATATGTTTCAACCAAATCTGAACCATGACAAAGGAAAGTGAAACTAAAAAGGCAAAAAAAAAAAATGCAAAACCACCTGCCATTGCCCAATCCATGCTCCGCCCAAGTTGCAACAGGGTATATATCAGCCAAGCACTCGCATGTCAAAACACTGGAAGAGTGCGCCGCCTTTCTGTAAGGTAACCCCCGTCGAAGAATTCCAGATAAACCCCATTGTCAAGTCCCAACATGTCATGATAGAGGACAGACAGCCGTATGAAAAAGGCAGGCAAAAGACAAAGAGAAAACAAATCCGAACCCGGTCAAACAGCCCTGCTGTGTGAACATTTCCTCCCGCATTTCATATCATGCCCTGGAAACGCGCAACAAATCAACCACTTCCCACTTGGTATCGGAGTAAGAAATCATGCCAGATGTAGAGAAAAAAAATGACCAACTCCCCAGTCTAACAGAGATGACAAAGGAAACAAAAAAAAAAAAGATAATGAAGACAAAACAACCGGTACCTCTATGGTCATAACTCTGGGTATTCAAGACATCACGAACAACCCACCCAAGCCGTTGTACCATGTCCTGCTTGTCCTTGGGGATATAAGATAGAAGGGAAAAGATATAACAGAGGAAATAAACAGTAAAAAAGAGAAAATATAAACGGGGTATCAACACTCAGCCACGTCGGGCGAGTCGGGAAGAGAAAAATGGTGAAGGAAATGATGCTGTTGTACAAAGGAGGAGGCCCCATCATTGAGACAGGCCGCGTCGCACAATGTGATCATCGCGCGACGTAGAGATGAAATGTTGAATTCGCCCCTCTTCGCTGTGAGAGGGCTGAGAGAGGCGTTCGACGTGGACGAGGAGGGTCCCTAGATTTACTCCTCGTCGTCGCCGGATCCGCCCTCCTTTTCTCCTTTGTGAACCTTCTTGTGTCGGCGCAGGTTGGAGACAACCGAAAAGTGGCGACCACAGCCTTCCACGTCACATGCAAATGCTAGATCCCATGCTGTTAGTTTCACAGAAAACCACGTTCGACAGATTCGGTCTGGAACTTACGCTTTTCGCCAGTGTGGCTATACATATGGGTCTGAAGCGACGACGGGCGGGTGAACCGCTTGTCACACACCTTGCACTTGTGCTTCTTCTGTGTGTTGGACGGCATCTTGGAGCTAAACTGACTCATCATCGACTGGGGTCCGGGAGGTGCGCTTCCCGTCAAAAGGTTCGATGGGCGCGGAAGGGTCCGCGACAAATGACCGTTCTCGTAGGATTCCGAGGTGGTCGAGCTATAATCGGTAACCGAAGATTCCACAGATGCCACTGAGGCACTGTAGTAGGGGTAGTTGCTAGCGGAGGAGATCGAAGATCCCGAAGAGTGAGTTGAGGGGAAGCCATAGGAGTCGCCAGAGCCTCGCGCACTGCGAGGGCCGTAGATGTTGCGGGGCGTCAAATCCTGGCTAAGCGCGACCATTCCCCGGCTGGCATCCAGAGCGTCACCGAAAGTCGGGGCGGAAGCAGGATGCGATTGACTGACGCGAGCATCACTGTGAAGCAAAAATGACTGTAAGCATATATTCGTTTCCTCATTCCAGGCGATCTGAGCAGCTGCGCATTGGAGGGTCATCTTACGCATGGGATATCCGTCGGTCTTGGTGCATGTGGGGAGCGTAGCTCAAAGGTGCATAGCTGGCTGGCGCATAGCTGGTCATGGGGGAAGCTGTGGTGTAGGCGGGAGCGTGCTCGAACGATGTGCGTGGGATATCGTGCGACAATCCCATCATCTCCGGTCCGGGGTAGCTTGTGGCAGTGGCAGTGGAATAGTTGCTTCCGGCAACCATGGACGGAGCGGAAACGGGGATGCTAGAATATGACATCGACATCGCCGCCGGGCGGCTCACTTCTTCCTGCTTGACATGGTTGAGGCCAATCGGGCTGGGTGCCAGGGCTGTCGCATATACGGGAGGGTTGGAGTGGGAGGTTGTTTGAGCGGCGGCCCATGGATCGGTGAATTGAGGAGGGGTGTGGTGGATGTTGTGTTGATAGACACTATCGAAGCCCATCCCGCCGTATTGGCGGTTTTGGTTTTCAATGACCATCGTCATGGAGAATAGTGGGTGATCGCGCGTAGCGGACGCTGATTGTTGGAGAGAGGTAGCGTGGTTGACGGTGACGATCGGAGTATCCCTAGGAAGGTAGGGACACAACAAACCGAGAGCAAGCAACTGCGCGCGAGCGATTTGGTTGGAAGGAAGGAAGGAAGGAAGGAGGAAAGGTGAATCAGGAAGATCAGGTATAGATAATCGAGGATGAAAGATGATCAACACAAGAAGAGTAATGTGTTGGAAGAGGAAACGGTAGCTGGTAGGAAGGGATCCGCGCTTTGATGTATAGAATGGAAGAAAGATGCGCAGGGGGAGGCAGCTGTGTAAATAGTCGAGGAGATATTTGGTTCTGAGACTGAGACAGAGACAGAGACAGAGACAGAGACAGGAATATGAATATTATAATCGAGGACCCGACAGATAGGAAGAAGGAAAGACAGTCTGGGGAAGGGCCCGAAGGGGATCGGCGAAGCTTATGAACAAATACAGGATCTCAGCATGAGGATGGACCGCAGGGACGAAAGGAAGCCCTGGCGTTGCCGTGTTGGTGATGGGTTTAGTGCCACTGACGACGTCCCGTCGGGGACGGTTGCAGATCGTTCCTTTGGGCCTCTTAGGCTTCGAAACGGCACCAATGTTGAAATGTTGAAATGTTGAAAAAAAAAAAATAATAATATGGGTTAAAATAAAAATAAAGACATTGAGAATCATATGTGCCAAAAGAGAAAAAGCAATGAATTAGTGCTAGTCGTAGTGGCAGAAATTAGTTTAGTATTTAGTTTAGTTCACTTACTACGGAGACAGTAGAGGGAAAAGTGGGAAAAGGGAAATTTCCAAATGGGAACCAGTTCCTCGGGTGACTCTCAAGGTTATGGATGGGTCTTCCTTATTTTTCTTTTCCCTGGATTTTTGTTTTCTTTTTTTTCTTCTCATTTTCTTTTGGGATCTTTTTGAGCGGGAGAGGAGAGGGGAGAGGGGGGTGGAGAAGAGCCAAAAAGGCAAAGAAGAAACAGAAAAAGAAAAGAAATTAATGATTTTTTGTTTTTGGTCCCTCTCGACTTTCCTTTTTGCAACTTCTCATTGCCTTTTTCTGTTTTGTCCTTTTTTTCTTTCCCTCTGCTTTTTCTACTTCCAATCATGTTCCATTTTTCGCCTTTTCCTCTTTCGACCAATTTTTGTTTTTCCTAATCTGTGAATTTCCATCTTGGTTCTTTTTTTGGTTCTTGTTTCTCCTTTCCTCTCTCTACATCGCTCATGACTAAGAGATCTTTCTCAAATCTAACCTACACTTCAGTTCAAATCTCGCTCTCTCCTTCTTCAACCTTAGCGTTCATAGATTTCTATTTTTGTATTGGATGGCGGAGAGAGAGAGGGTAGTCAGTCGGTGGCATGGCGCAGAGCATCTCTCGTTGGCTACTCGCCCGAGTAAATCTGATACCCGGGCATCAACCCTCCCGAGTCCCTCCTCCAAAACAATCCAACGAAACACAATGCAGCAAAACACCCTCATTCGAAACACGCGTCAATTACGCCTTCCCCCCCTCCCCTTTCCCCGAGTTTTAAGAAGACTACATACATTCATCAATTCATACGGAGCACGCAAAACCAATCGCACGCCCAGCGTTAGGGAGTATGATGAGATCACGTTCAAAACTACTATGTAGGATCTTGAAATTTGTTACCAGAAAGAACAAACAAGTGATGAAGAAAGCAGGGGTAGCGGCAAAAGATCTGAAACTCCGGCATTGAGAAGGGGAAGGGGGGGAGGTACCACACTCATGTGTGTCAATGCACGTACGCAAATACGGTAGAAGAAAAGATGATTACTACTTTTTAAGACTGTGGTAAGCTTTTGCTTTTCCACAGTCCTGTAACCTGTTTTTGGGGATGTAATCTGTAAATCTCAATCAGTGTCTCGAATCTGCATACTTAGAACTGTAGTAGCTCGGTTTAGTCTATTCGTGAGTACCGTCAGGGTGGTAGATAGGCAGTGAGAACTTTCTAAGTTAGTATACTCCTTCCTTCGTACACGCACATGAGACAGGCAATTACAATAAGTGCCCATATAAAATGAGGGTTGACGCGGGAAGGCGACTACTACAGCCACAAGGCAAAAGAGAGGGCAAAATGAAAAGTCAATGACCAAAAGGGCAAAAGCAAAAAGGAGGCAAAAGATGAAGAGTGGAAATGGGAGGGGGGGGAGAAGGGAAGGAAAGGCAAAGGTGGTGGAGTTTCTCTACTGTGCAGAAGTAAAAGTAGAAGGGAGAAATCAAAAAGCATGGATATTTTGACATCACGAAAAGAGACAACCCAAAAGCAACAAGTAGCAAGCAAAGCAAAAGCAAAGCATTAGAGTAAAAGGGAATGGCGTGTAGTATGGAGTCTTCAATTCAGGTACCGGACACTGTGTGTGTCTGGTGGTTTAGTCACCGTCCCCGTCCCCGTCCCCGAGCGAGGTACGTACTCTAACTCCATAATCCATCCATCCATACTTTCTCTTCTGATGTCTGCACGTAGCGTATGTGGCAGGCTGGCAAGTGCGGCAATAACGCTCCATTCACTGTGTCTCGTTCAAGTCATCATAAGGGGCGGCGGCATTGAGCCGACAGACCTTACCCAGAGTGGTAGGTTCACTTAGGGGAGGACATCGAAGGTAAGTGGAGAGAGGAGGGGTTTGTGCCGTGTCTATACAAAGTAGTCCAATAACCAATGTTGGGAAGAGAAGACCAGCACCAAAACAGCAGAGCGTGGGTACCAGGGAAGGCATGAAAAGGGTTTAGGGGCAGCTGAAGCATGGATGGAATTGGGAACAGACCCAAAATTACAGGAGGGCAGGCAGCGCCAAGAGTTAAGCTTAGATGCACTGATGCAGCGACCAAGGTTCGCCTTGAGCCCTTGGAGTGTGTGTTTCAAGGTAGCGGGGAAAGTGGCAGATCACAAAGATACGTCAAAGGGTACACCCGTTCCGTGGGGGAGAAAGGTCACTCACTCACTCTGCTGGACAATAAGATGGTTGATAAAAAAAAATTGTTCCCAAGCGTACTGTAATGTACCTGTGTGGACCAAGCCTTCTTCTGCTCCCCTCCCCCCTCCCCCCACCCCTACGTACCAACTATTCTTACTGAGTATGGCCTCTGCTGAATCTGATTGAATCATCCATCGCCTGTCCCTTTTTTGCTGTCGGTTCCCCCATATATCTCTCATGCTTTTGCCGTTTTTGATTCTGGTAATCTTGAGATGTGACAGCGGGATACACTACGGTGGCCGGTAATATTACAGCACGATTAAGTCGATCGATATGATATGGAAGCACTCCAGAAGGGGATTCGAGAAGAAGGTTCGCAGTTGCACTCTTCAAACACATCACAGCCAAAGAATGGGCAGATGGACTTCCTCCCCTCCCCCTTAACTGTAACTGTAGAAGTTGATAGGTGTGCGCGTCCAATGGTGGCATTCCATCCACGCCATCTTGCACAGAACATGTTACGCAAGAAAGCGGCCAAGACCTCCAAAGTCTCCGAGTTGGGGCAGGGTGATTGGCCCATCTAGGGTTGCGGTGGTGAGGGTGGTGGTGGTGGTGGTGGTGATGATGACTTGGCCTTCTCGGAGAACGCTGCTGCGGGCTGCTGTGGGCTTGTAGTATGTCAGTAGTGGTGGTGGTGGTGGTGTCCAGGAGGCGGTATGGGTGAAGGATTCCCCTCGGGGACTGAGCGGAACCAGATGCAATAGTTCAATGGTATATTGGTCATTTACTATGTAGGACTGACTCGGGCAGTCTTAATTCGATGCATCTACCGCGAAAGCGCAGTAGTCAGATAACCCCGCCGCAGAAGGTGATTACTGATGTATGTACAAAGAGTACTGGATGTGCAGTAATGCAATGCGCGTGCGAAATTTGTTCTTGAGAGCTCGGCAGCAGACAGAGCCATTCACATCGCTCAGCGTGAGCCGGGATCTATGAGGTGAAGCTGCATTTTCCCCTCCATCCATCACACACATCGGAAAAGGCTGGGAGGTGGGCGGGGGATCCCCCAAGGCTGTCATCGGTCAACGGTTGACGATGACGATGACGATGATGTGCCGCGATCCATGAACTATGCATGCAAGCGAGTCTAATACATTTCCGTGGTTATTGAGGGCCGTGACTAAAACCACCAGATGACTGCACTGGGTATGATGATGATGGTGCTGATGATGATGGTGTTACAGTAGAAATGAATGAGGCCCCCAATGCAGAATGACGACATGGCTTCAGCATGAAATCGGGAATTCATCCATTTTCCGCATTCTGCAGAGATGGCGCTCGCGTGCATTTCATTTGAGTACGGAGTAACTTTGCGATCCTTGCCTCCTCCTCCTCTTCCTCCTCCTCCTCCTCCTCCTCCTCCTCCTCATCCTCTTTCTCCTCCCGCGGCGAAGGGGTCAATGTAGGTGGGTGTCTCAATGCGCAAGCGGTGATGAAGGAGTCGGAGGCTCCTTCGGAATGAAGCTGTTGTCAGCGTCATACAAATAAGAAGCTCAAGCCTTACGCGATGGCTAGTGGCCAACGAGGCCCCCACCTTGAAGATGGATAATGACCAGGACGGGAACATTGAGCATCAACCGCCGTTATCAACATCATCGTGGAGGTGAAGCATCGCATCGGCAGGGTCTCTTCGAGCAATTGATCCGATATTAAAAAGCAATCATGCGCTCGAATTACCAATCGCAGGGACACAGGGATGCGGTTTCAGCCGGTCGCTGTCGGTAATTTGAAGTTGCGTCAATTTAATATAAAATAATGAGATGACATTGAACATGAGACCTAGTTTAATCGGTAGTATGTGAAGATGTGTGTGCTTCAAAAGTAGGCAGGCGCAAACCATGTTGCGATTCAGATCGCAGCCACGTTAGCGGGATGATTTCCATGGTCTGACCCGCCAGTCCCTCGGTTCAAGGCTTGTCTGATGACATGGGATGATGGGACTGGCATTGCCTCTCTATCTTCTACCTTTATTGCCTAGTAGCTCAGGTATGTATGTCTGAATCCATTTGAGACTATTTTGATTTCTGCTTTTGCTTCTCTAGGATAAAGCACAGTTCAGGTGGCAGATAAGTTAGGTTATTACATATGAGGGGACAGTCGATATGGGGCGGATATTGATATAGCGTTGTTTTGTTTTTCTATAATCCTGATTTCTTATTTTCCTGCTTTTCCGCGCTCGACTCCGATTGTGGTTCTGGACACTAATCTGAATCGGACTATTCAGAGATCTTTAAATTGCATTGTCCTAAATGGTCGCACTATTTGACCGGATCCCCTCCACACCGACGTCAGAGCACGGAAGAGACCAGCCCGTCTCTCCTAACGCTAGCGGCACGGAATCGGGGAACTTCACTTTAGCAACCAGGCCAAGTGACGACTCGGGAGGTTCGAACACATCACACGCAATAAAAAAATCTCCAGTTTGTTTACGCGGTGTCCCACCGGTGTGGTAGAATGGGAAAATAGAGAAATGACTAACTAGCATTAACTAACGTGTTAGAATAGATACCTCTTGCCCCCCTCTCCCCCACCACGATTCAATATTAGCGATTGGGGCAAGCGGGATAAGGAGGCGAAAAGTGAGCGCGGAGTTGGAACTGTCCTTGAACCCCAACCCAATTACGTGCATAGGATGGGGGAATGCCCAAGTCGAACAAAGGATCAATGACCTCAACATCCGAGTTTCGCTCATAATTTGATGAAGCTGCGATCGTTACCTCGTGAAAAAGAAACGAGACTTTGATCGAACACTTGGGATCTGGTGTCAACAGATCAACTGATTGACAAGCTCTTTGTCTGGGGTATTGTCGATTGACTTTCAGCTCTCCCCTCTTGCCATATGGCTCCGGATGAACCTGTATAGAGTCGATCACACAGGTACCGGTACCGGTACCGGAGATGGACACATGGGCAGGTTCCCGAGAGCGTACTCAACCCAACCTCCATCCAGCACCACCAGCACCAGCACTACCTCCTCCTCCTCACAGGCCACCCCGTCGACAATCCCAGCATCCACCATCATGAACTAAACCCACAAGGCTAGGGAGATGTCAAGGTGGATGCTCGGGTGCAGGATTGACGGACGCCCACTTTCTGCAACCGCTCGGCTGGGGCGTTTTTTTTTTTATTTATTGTTCGCCCATTTTTTGACCTGGGTAGTCGGTGGCTGCTCTAGCTACACATAGAGCATCAGAAAGAAACTTAAAAAGGAAAAACAAAGTTGGGACGATCGCAAGGAGGATCAATATGATAGGTACAGCTGGCTATCGCTCGGGACTAGCTTCATCGCTTTAGGTTTGACTGAACCCTACTGATGGGATGGGCTGGTCGGCAAGGTGATTTGACCAGGGAAAAGATCCAAGGACAATGGCCTAACAGGGGACTGAGCGACAGGGGAATCATTCCCATTTCGCACGGCTGTAGAGTGACCACATGCAGCGGTGCAAGATCCATCCACACATTCCTTACCTTTTCTTGCCCCCCGTTCCCCATCCCCCTCCCCCAACCTCAAATCGCGCGCACGGGAGAATAGATGAAGGTTCCACTGCAGTCCAACTATCAGATATGCAGAAAGAGGGGGCACGCACCCATGAACGGTGGTTAAGGGCTTTCTTTGCCTGGAGGGTATAACCACGCTTGCTCGGTTCACCTTCGTGATTAGAGTTGGGAAAAGGACTCGAGGGATATTTTTTTCTGTACGCAATTTTTTTCTTAAGCAAGCGGTTCTTCGTTGGACGGACTCAATGAGTGGGATACAGAATGCACGAAGAAGCAGCAAATTGGACGGGTAGAAGACCGAACCCTCCCAAAAAGGAATCGAGACTTGGCAAGAAAAACTGGGACCATGGAAGAGCGAACCTTGAAAGTCTCGACATACCGGATAGAGCAGGTGCATAGTCAGGGAGCCACTGATGTGGGCGCATGGAGACAGCGGCGACGGAACGTGGGTCGGGGAGGGGGAAGGAAAATTCCCCACCCGGCTTTTGGTACGAAGCACGAGGCCAGCCATGCGATTGCCAAAGATTTCAGACCACTGCGCTCGAGTTCTGGACCATGGATCACCAACTAGTGGTTCTTGGAGGAGCGGAGAGCAAGATGAATGGAAACATCCTCCAGAACTCCCTCACGAGATTAAGTGAACTTCTTGCCGAGACAAGAAGCAGGGACTAACCTTGTTCCGAGAACCATCACCACAGGCTCGGGTCTTTGAGACTCCATGCTCCAAGCTCCAAAAAGACGTGAATCAATAGTCTAAGTCGCTACTACGGGGAACTAACTAGGCCAAGCTTGGCTGACAGCATGAAGCTAAGCTGCCCCTCTTTCTCAGCTCTTTTGGGGTCGAACGAACTTGGGCCTTCCGCTTTGTGCACAAACCAGAAGTACGAAGACAACTCTGGGGGCATGGATTCTCATTTCCGAACTTCGCAAGCAGGAGAGAGCAAAAGGGTCAAGCCATCCTTGGTCCACCAGACATGCCGTCCTGTACAGCACGGAATTAGCGCATGTTTGAAATCAGCTCACAGCCTCAAAGGTGTTGCGTATACATCTTGAGGTGCTCCTTTTCATTGGTATACAATTGCAAGCAACAGGTGGGCTGCAGTTTCCAATATAAACGGTGGCAAACTGTAGCTCTGAACCTGAATTTCGCCTCTGGACTCCTCGCGACGCATCATCAGTGAGGCTGTTGTGTGCTTATTCCGTCCCTCCTCGGTAAAGCTGCCTTGGTAGGTGAGCGTCACAGACCAGGAGGGGATACCTTCGGGTGGCCCATTCTGATACAGTCAGGAGAAGCATCGCTTCTCCGATTCGTAGATCCTTTTAGGTCTCGGGATTGTTTCAGCCCTGGCTGACAAGAGTGTGCGATATCCATTGACATGCCATTGTCCCTCCCCGTCTGTTGTATTTCATCTATATGATTGACCAATAGAATGCATCATTACACACTACATACAGAACATACCTCTGTCCTGACTATTAATTCCAAGCCAATGAGGGTTGAGCTTCAAGCTCATCAACTCCGTCCTCGGCCTGCACAAACAAACAGGGCCCGGGCTAGCGGGTGGACTTGGATCCTTTCGATCCTGAGGCACCAAACAAGCATTCGATTCAACGCCTATTGCCAAAAGTAACATCGAGGTAAAGCTACCTACTGCTACTAGTACATTACTGAGGGGCTTGAAATACTCGATGAATTACCAACTCATGATTACATGTCTAAACTTCAGCCCTCGGACTTTGGGCATCTAGGATTGTTGTTAGAGGTGAGGCAGGGTGGGATGTATAGAGGGGCTCCCTACGAGCGCGCGGAATTGCAATGCTGGGTTGCCCAGAACAGGAGAGCCGAAATCGCAGCAGGTATGCGGCATGGATGAGGAGGTCCAAGCGGAAATGCATTATTGCGTAGGTAGGAGTCAACCCGCCCCCGACATTTCTTACTGACTGGACTCGGCATCCTTCGAGCCCTGAGTGTCTCAATGCTTGGGCCGAAGGAATGAATAGAAGATTGCAGTGTGATGTACTCGGTAACATTGTACTCCATTTAGTGGTGATGAATCTCTGCTGGAAAGTGATAGTGCAGCACCTACTGTGCACTATTCGATGGAATGAATCGGTGGCTGTATACCAACTCATGCTGATTTGTCTTTTGACCGCCGGATCCGCTTTTTCCAGCGCGGACCCCGTGCTTCCTTCTTTGCGCTCGCCTGCCAGCTTCACCGCTTTTCTTCCTGCCCGTCTGTCTGTTAGGCGTCTCTTTTCCCCTCCTTTATCGACTCGATCTCCTTTTCCCCTCCTTTACCCGCTGCCGGGGGAGGCAAGAGGGGAACGGACGAATAAACCTAACTCTGTAGACTGACAATTCCCATCACAAAAACATCACATCGTCCGACTACCATCCATCCATCCTCCCCCACCCCCCAATCTTCACCACCACAGGCACTCAGTTATCCTGACTAAACCCTTTAGGTTCGCCCTCATTGCAGGGATTGGATCTAAGCCTATCTTGGCAGCTCGTAGATTACCGGAATAGGTAGAGCTGGGGGTGTGCCCAGTGGAGTAGCTGGAGTGGGTGGATTTCTCTCACACACCCACAGCATCCCCCGGGAAGCCCCTCCAGGGCCAATTCTTTTCTGTGCCAATTTAAAGTGTTAGGTTTGACACGGCACATCATCTCCCCCAAAACGCGTAACCTGGGCTCCATAAACGGTCACCCAGTCATCAAGTTCAAGCCACATACCCACTTTCAGTTTAAGCTGACTGCTGAGTGTGCCCCTCTCTCCCTCAAGGAGGAGTCCTCCAGGTTCCCCCCCCCAATAGCGGGGAGTCCCAATCGAGTAACCCGGTGGGGAATCTTGAAAAGACTACTGTACTAATCCTCTTCTGGGTGAGGGATCAGTTTGCCAGTGTACTGTACGTACTAAATTTTAAGTGGTTGGCTTTTTGTGCAGTGGTGTTTGTTCCCGAGTCGTCACTCTAACTTTACTTTAGCACGGGAAGATAGATGTAGGGAGTGGATCTGCCACCCGTCCACTGCACCCGCTCTGCCTTCCTTATTTGCAGGTCAGCTCTACCGACTGACTTTCCCTTCTGCTCCAGCTACTTAGGATCAGTACTCAGCCTCTAAGGGTGATTGATCTATTGATGCATTGTTGATGTTGGTGGCGCGGCTAGCGACACCATCTGCCTGCATTGTGGCTTTCTCTTGTGTATGTATGCACGCATGCATGCTTGCACTATGGTCTGTCTACTCCGTTCTTTTGTTCCTACAGTAGTAGTTACTTGCTTGTCCAGTATTTGCCTGCTTCGTCGCTGTGTTGCCTACAAGCCTGAACGACAACCAAGATAACTACACTGCATAACAGACTCGGGCATTTTCCTCGCGGAAGCACCGGACTCTGTTACCCTCAAACTTCTGAGTATCTCCACCAGATACTAGGAGTACTGTACAGTACCTTATTGTCCTGGCAGCAGAAGCGAGATTAAACATGCACGGCACACACACTCACTCTACCAACTAAGTTATCTTGGCTTCTAATTTTAAACAGCGGAAGCCTTCACTTACACGCGGGAGAGAAATAGAAGGCTCATGAACTTCCCCGACCCCTTTTAAACATATTCACACAGTAACCGTAATAAGTATTACTGCTATCGCTGTCCACGGGGGGAGACGGAGGGGGTGGCCCATGTGTAGATACTAGATTGAAGCCGAGCTGGCGGCAGAGTCTTGGCAAATTGGGATTGGGATATGGCAGATGGCCGGCTGGCTGGAACGAACCCCTCTGGAGCAGACGGTCAGTCTATAGATTTCCCTGAGTGATGCAGTGGTGACGGTGTGGTGCTGCAATTGCAAGGCTACGTACGCCACTGCGATAAATCTAACTATTGATATACCTACTCGTAAAACCAGGTACAGTACTTACTTAGAGTTTATTATAGTGTTGGCTATCGATAAACCCTAGTAATCAGAGACAAACCCGTCGATAGCGATCGAAGATCACTCTCGCACACATCCTGGGAACCAAACATACTACTCGTAGTGCATGAGTGACCAAGATCGGCAGTACGGGGGCTGCCCTAGTGAAGACTGACAGCCCCATCGCCCAATGATCTGGAACCTCATCCTCTGCCCGGGTCTCGATCATAGCCAAGGCGCCAAAACTGTCTTGCCAGAATTCAGGAACAGGAAGTCTGCCATCGCGGGAGGAAATGGAATGAACTTCACACTGACACAACTTTCCTTTTCGGGGGGTGTTTTCAGCTCTGGGACCCGGTTGACAGCGAAGAGGGATTTGTTGAACTACACAGGAGAATTCTGAAACGAAGCGCACCATAAAAATCTTGATGGACTCCACCTGTTGAGCTCGCACGCACTTGGTCAGGGGAAAAGGAACCTGTGAAGGGTACTGTACGAAAAGGGAACCCCAAGAAAAAAAAAAAGGGATTTTAAACAATCTGTCAAATCTGCACGGGGCCCCTTTTTCTTATTCTTGGCAGGATCCCACCGAACGGCAGATCGTCGGTGATTAACATGATGGCGTTCAAGGGGACGGGGAGGGATGTAGATTGTAAGTTAGTGGACTTTGCATGTGCGGGTATACTCATAGTATCAAAGTGGTTGGGTCTGGGATGTGCAGGACAAGTGTACGGTAGGATGAGAGTAGAATGAAGAAGGATAAATGATGGGGAATGGTTTGAGTATACTCGTATGAGTACTAACTAGGCATGACGGTGGCTCTGTTGTTCTAGCACAGTGCCATAGTAGGTATGTTCCTTGTGGTCGGTAGTTCATCAGAGTGACAGTAGGTAGGTTATATCTCTCGGCATTCAGCCGAGAAACCATCCAGCCAGCCAGTCAACCAGCCCCATCATCCATTAGCTTTACTGCTCCTCCAAAGCACAGTCAAGAGCATCTCCTAAGGGGAAAGAAAACTCAATCACCAAGTGTGGATGTCCTGCAGGGGCAAATCCCTTTTTTTTTCCCTTTTCCCAGACGTTCGGGATCCAGAGAGAGAGGGAGAGGTCACGCGTGCCAAGAGAAATCGAACCTCGATTGAACTTTCCATCGATGTTCTTTTGCGGTTTTAGGTGTAGCGTTCTCCTCTCAAACTTTGGTCAAATGTCCAGAAATTTGGATAGGTTTGGTAGCATCTACCAATCAGGATAAGGGTCAAATCAACTAAGCAGTTGATGGAGGCGGAGCCCTCCGAACTATGTGTAAAAAGCACCAACACATGGTCTCCGCTTCTCCGGGATATGGAGTGAACCATCATTCTCATTATCTGGTTCGTTCCCGTAGTGTGGCAGGATTAGCTTCCCTTTTGGCGGTCCCATGGCTGGAATCTCTGACAGTACCCTTCCCCTTCCCGGGTCGGTCGGAGACGGAGACTTGGGTTAACTTTAGACCGGGGTATACGGAGTAGTCACTGGTTGGAAGACCTCCGTACTCTTGGGTTGCCCTTGAAGCAGGGGAAGGCAGTTGGAGGTACAGTACAGGGACTGTAGCTGGAAAAGATCCATGAAATCAAGTATACATGTTCTTCCTCATTGGCCTGGGACTCCGGTAGATCACCGTAGTCCATGAGGAAGACGGAAGCTGAATCCTGCAGGTGCACTGCACTGTGTCTAGCTAGTTACATGTATACTGTTATTCCGCAGC